GCCATCTACCCCTCACATATTGCGTATTCGCTGTGTGGCTCGTCAACGAACAGTCTCAACTCCTACAACGCGTGCAACTCGTTGACGGCGCAGCGAACTTTCAACGGATCGATCTCAAGAGCTCGCACAAAGTCTATTGAGTCGATAAATTCGAGCGCAACGGACGCAACGTACACAACAAACCCTCGGAATGAGTTGTGTCAGGCCTACTACAGTCATGGGACAAGTAGGGTTTTTGTGAACGGGGCCCCACAAAGCTCAACAGATCATATTATCAATGGAAGTCTTGATAGCTCGGATTACTCGAGGTCCTATCATTTGAGGCTTACTAATACATCAAACGGTGGTATAAATGTTCAAACGTATTCTGTGGAGACGCCGAGTGACTACATGTATACGGGGAGTGATATGAACAGCAATGAGAACGAATGTTTGGTGCAGTATGAGAATAGTTTGGAAAGGCATAAAGGTATGATAGTGTAGAGACATTGATCGGGTTAGAAGCTATATCAATGGCTATAGAATGGAGTCAAGTCATTTCATAGAGAATAGTGCTATCTGCTTGAGATTTTTTGGTCCGTTTTTTGGGGAAATTTCTGTTTTTTGGCCGAGAATTGGCGTTAGTAATTGAAAGATGGTCTGATCGGGAAAACTTTGACTACACAGTGCCGTCACAGTAATCCTAGGGCTGTTTTATATGGTAATCCTAGAGCTGGGAAGCCAACGTTTTGTAGAAGAGGCGGTTTAGATATTCAACCATTTTTGCGGTCGAGAGAGTACGCGAAATGCGGAGTGCGGTCAGAGAAAAATTATTTTTGGCCATATCTTTGCCAGCTTCGTGCGAAGACAATTTATTTTTTGTGGAAACGTTACAGTCTACCGCAGAAATAGCGATGAAACTTTTCATGCCAAAATTGGTCAAAAACCAAAAAATCTCGGTCGTTTCTGCAAAGCGCGGGCTAGAAGCCGAACAGTTTAAGATGCCCTGCAAAAGGCAATTTTAAATCAAAAGAAACCTCCATACAGTAAAGCCCATCTATAGCGAAAATTTTTTTTCTGTCGGGAAAGTAATGTGGACTAGTCGCAGCAAAATGTCTCACCCCGGCGCAGTCACGCATCAAATCTCCAGCTAGCTGTCGCAAAGCTCTCTAGCTCTCTCTCTATGAGGGAAATCGAACACATCACGTTGCATTATGATATCCGACCATCCTTTCGACTCGTAACGGAATAACCGATCTCTCCCGGTGAGGCCGAGCGAAAGGTCATCACTTTTACCCCCCTCTCTTCTCGGCTTAAAGACGCGCGTTTGTTTTTTCGCTCCCCCACCATTTTTGCGATCCTCTTTTCACTCGCTCGGCCTTTAAGCGACCTCCATTTTCTCCCTTCTAGAAATTGACGGGGAACACTTTTTTCGGCGTTGCGTTATCTCGAATATTCCTCCATTGCATAAAAAACGTTTTTTGAACCGTTTTCCCCTTATGACTTCCTTTTTTGGAAGAGATTTTGCAGGAGAAATTTTGGAATTTTTTGGAAATTTAATTTTAAAAAGCAATTTATCGAATTAAAAAAATTTTTTTTAATTTTTTAAGTCTGGGTTTGGTATTTTACATTTTTTTTAAAATATTTTTTAAAAAAAATTTGGTATTTTTCGAAAAGTTGATGCCTCAAATGCCTATGATGATTTTTGAAAAACACTTGTTGACATTTTTCTGCGACAAATCCATTATTTTCCCGACCGACGGATAGTTTAGTCATTTTTCACATTTACGGTTAGAAAAAAATTTGTGAAAAATTTGGAAAAAGTAATTCTAGCAACCGTATTTTAAAAAACACCGCTTAATTTTACCATTATAATCGCTGTAATTTTTTTGCTTCTTCCCTTTTTTCGAAAAAAAATTGAAAAATTTCATTTCCCAAGTTTACGGACCACTTTTACTACCGGTATTTTATTGAGATTTCCTGTCAAGGTTATCTTCTCCTTATCATAAAAAGTTGGTTTGTTTACACACTTTTTTGCAAAATTTTTATCGGTTCAATATAAAATTTACAAGGGAAGTACCCCAAGTGCGGCGCTTAGATTTTCTTTAAATTTTGCACACACGTCGGGAATAGACTAAATATCAATTCCTGAAAGTTTCAGCTCGCGCTTTGCAGGCGCCGCCGAGATATCGGACGATTTATGCCGCCGAGAGGGCGCGCTAAACGTGGAGAGCGGTCAGAAAAAACGCTTTTTGGCCATAACTTTGGCAGTTTCATGCGGAAAATTTTGATTTTTTGTAGAAACATTAGCCTTTACGGTAGAAATAGGCATGAAACTTTTCGTGCCGAAATTCGGCAAAAAGTCCTAAATTTTGGCCGACTTTCGATCTAAAAATCTCGGTTGTTTCTGCAAAGCGCGAGCTAGGATTCTCGCATATATCTTAGAAAAAATTATTCTAAATTTGTGCCAAGTTTCATCAAAATCTGAGCGTCGCACTTGGAGTACTTCCCCTGTTAGTCAGCATCTATAAAATTTTTTTTACTAGGCCGTCCACATGGTCGCGGGGCCACTTTCGGCCTTACCGGACCGCAAAACTGGAGCCACGCCAAGCGGCTCCATTTCGGTTTCGCTGAATTTTACTTTAAAGTTTTAAAAGTTTCGCTAAAAGGAAGTGATTACTCAGGGTTTCTTCCAATATTTTTGAGCAGAAATGTGAATCAGCTTTTGCAAAGTGGATTATTTCACAACTTTCTTTCGCATTACACATTATTTTTGTATTATTATAGATGCGTGTGGGATTTAAGGACCGCACTTGACATATTACACAACCCATTAGGCGTCAGGAATTGCGAAATTTTTTCTTTTTCGGGAAGAGACAAAGAAAAGGATGGCAAAGAAAAAGGCGGCCAAAAAGGAGCTAAAAATGCCGCAGTCTGAAAAACAATTCTAATTTGAAAAGGGCAGTTTGATCATATTTTTACCCACTATTTTCAAGACAGACTGATTCTGCACTGTTTTCTGTGAAATTTTTTAATTGTTTTTTTTATTTTTTCCAAGTGCTACGCTCATATTTTCTTTAAATTTTGCACACAAATCAGGCATAGGCCACATATTATAATTCCTGAAAATTTCAGCTCTCCCTCTGCAGGCGCAGCCGAGATATTTAACATTTTTCCGAGAGAGTACGCAAAAGACGGAGAGCGGTTAGAGAAAAAACCCATTTTTTAGTCGTATCTTTGTTAGTTTCGCTCGGACAAAAATGATTTTTTGTGGAAACATTGCTCTCTACAGCAGAAATAGCTATTAAACTTTTCATGGTAAAATTCGCAAAAAAATTTAACATTTTTGCCAACTTTTGAGATAAAAATCTCGGTCATTTCTGCAAAACGCGAGCTGGAAATTTCGCATTGGTCTTAGAAAAAATTGTTGTAGATTTGTCCCAAGTTTCATCCAGATTTGACAATGTTTTTTTTATCATTCATATGCCACTTACAGTACCCAAAACCCTATTCACTTGTTTTTGATGAACTGTAATCCTCCGTCTGTCCCTCAACTCCGAAAAAAACCGGAATCAGGCAATTGGAAAATCCGCTTTCTTCTCCATTTTGTTCGAATTCGAAATTCTTCAATCGACTTTTTCGGTTCCTCTTCATTTTTTGAGGGCAAGGACGACCGAAAAAAATACAAAAGAGAGGCGAAGACCGCTGGATTAAATTCTTAATCTTGGCTAGGATTCTCACGACAGCGTTTGTGGAGTTTATAGATTATTTAGGACTTATTTCGTGGACTTTTGTCATTTTTGATATATCAGTCTTGCCTAGTGTAATATAAATGATGTTTAAAATAAGGCCGGAATTGATTTAAAATGCAATTTTGCGTCATTGTCGTTGTTGTGCAACTCATAAACTATGTCTTTAATGGACTTTAATAAGTTTTTTGGATATTATCTTTGCCTAGTATAATATAATTTATGTCTAAAATAAGGTCAAAGTACATTGCTGTTGGATTTTTTTCCTCTTTCTTCTTTCCAATCAGCTCTTTTGACATCTCGATACCAAGTTCTACCACCAAATTTATTCACCATCAAACACGTTTCATCGTATAAAATTTTCCCCGGCCGCAGCTCGCCAAAAATAAATCTCCTAAAAAAGACTATTTTTCCATCGGAAATAGCGAGATCACTACCCAAATCGCCTTTTCCTCTCGTGTAAACAACGTCCATCCCGATTTCCTATATCAAATACGAGAAATAAGAGATTTTCACTAATTTTTGACCTTTTTATATTGTTTTAGCCAAGTTTTTGCCATTTTTTGATCAAAACTTCGCATGTTTTGATTGCTCATCAGATTAGAAGTGAAGAAACGCGATCCGACGTGTGTGATTTTTTGATTCAGCATATTGGAACTGTTATTTTCGGAAGTTTTTAGCGGGAAATTCTCGAAGTTCGCTCAATCTTTTGGGTGGCTTCGGGAATTTCGAAATTTTAGGTGATAGTGCAATGCAAATCATGGAAATTTACTGTTTACTAGATAGTAGAGGTTGTGTTGTTGCTATATTTGGTCGTTTGAATAGGATTTTTTTCTGTTTCAGCGATTTCTTGGCAATTATATTATCCATGGTATCTGATGTCTAAAATAATGTTTTTTGATCGAATTTGGAGGATTTTTTATTTTTTAATTGTTAAACAAGGTTGTACAAGGCTTATTACATCTAATGTGAAGTAAATTTTTGTTTAATTCATCTGTTTTTCACATCAATTTGCCTACTACAATATCAGCTCAAAATATTCCAAAAAATCTCAAGGATAACGTCCAAACCGATGACTAATCCATGTCTATTGCTCTCTCATAAAAGTTATTAGCCAATTCTTATCACTTTGTCGTGCTATTGACGTCGTTTGCCATTATATCGACAATAATGTTACCCGTGTTTGTCTAGGACCTAAAAGCGTTTCCGGTGGCCTGTCGGATCGGTTTTTCCAAGAACGAAAACCGCAAAAAGGTTCAACAAGGGTTAATAATGGACTTTGAGGAGCGTTCCAACGAAGCGCTGAAGTGTTTCGAGGCCAAACGCCAGGAGAATTCGGGTAAAATTGGGCTAGAGCCCGGAGGGGATTTGCATTTTAAGGATAAAATTTAGGGTTTTTTGGATGTGATAGGGTCTGTAGATGTTGAAAAACTGTCTTTCTTCCATGTTAGAGCCTAAATTTTTGGATTTTAGCCATTTTTTTGGTATTGGTACCTAGTATAATATAAAGAATGCTGAAAAAGTCTCTCAAAGTGGGCTAAATTACCTTTTTATTCTCTAAATATAAGTTTTATTTATAGATGAACGAGATCGCATCCAAAAGAAGACATTTACCAAGTGGGTCAACAGAAATCTCGCAAAACGCGGCCGAAAGGTGGAAGATCTCTTTGTGGACCTCCGAAATGGCTTCAATTTGATCGCTCTTCTCGAAGAATTGACACAAGAAGTCTTGGTGAGAATTTTCAAACCTTTTTTGTTAATTTTAGACACAAAAATTTTCAAGTGTAATGTAAAATTTTTGAAATTTTATTAATTTTTGGTGTAGTTGCTCTTGAAATTGATGCCAATGGCTAAGTAATTCCCCAATTTTAGCCAAAAGAAAATGGCGAGACCAGATTTCATCGGACACAGAACGTACAGTGCTGTTTGGACTTTTTGAGGCGTCGAAATGTAAGTGTAATATAAATTTTCGTCAAAGATTTGCTTCAAATATTATTTTTTGTAATTTCAGATCAAATTGGTAAATATCCGACCAAAGGATATTGTCGATGGAAATGGAAAACTGACTTTGGGATTGATTTGGACAATCATTTTGAGCTTCCAAATCGCCGTAATTACGCAACGACAAGCCGAAGAAGGACAAAAAAGAGAGCGATTACAGTCAGGACAGAGGTCTCCTCAGCCCAGTAACGGGAACGGCGAAGTGGGATTGGAAAATGTGAATGATTATGACTATGAAGAAGGTTCAAGTGCTGTTCAGGTTGGTTTAGACGATTTTTTGAGATTTTTAGGGCGTTTATATGGTACTCGGCTTCTGAAATTGTTTGTGAAGAGCTAATAAAGGCTTGAAATGAAATTCCGGAGAGATCCGGCGTATTTTAGGGATGAAGCTCGGGCGCAGCTCGGGAAATTATTTCTGCAGCCTGCAGATTATAAAGATGCCTTTTATGGTCTAAAACAATGTAAAATGAAAGATAAAGCCGATTGAATGTCAAAATAGACGATAAACATAACAATTCAACAATTAAAAGCAGTTTTATATTAACCATAACAAAAAATTTTGACTTTTTTAAATTTTTTTAAAATTTTGCTAACCAAAACAATGTTTTCACCTCCGAAAACACCCATAAATGTCATGAACAACACGCGGAACACGCCAAACCACTCGAACGTGGACAAAACAAACTTTTTTCGCTTTTTTCCTAAAAAATGGAGGATTTTTTAATCCCCTTTGCTCTGATCAAAATCCATAGGCTTATTTTGTTAGCTCCTGCTGTTTGTTTGAGCCTTTTGTTGTCAATGGATATCGAATACTCTTTGGTCTTTCGCGAAAAGACGTCTATGATTTTTTTTGCTTTTTTTTGGAAATCAATTTGGACCATTAAAATGCAAATTTCTCGTTGGGAGGAAGGGAAGAAGGCTGGTTTTTGAACGGGAATTGTTTGATTTGTTGCCTTAGGGTTTTTTGAATTTTGATATTCATCTTTTTGCAACGATTTTTTTGCGGATTTGAGGTCATTTTTGCGATTTTTCTCTAAAATAATTACAAAATCGCAATTTTTTTGCAAAAAAATTTATTTTTCGATAAGAAAAACCGTTTTCCCAGTCAATTCCCCCTACTCCCAAGGATTTCCGACAGTTTAATCGCGAATTGAGAACAATTATCCACTGAAACGTTTAATTTTCAAAGGTCATCGCGCCGCTGGAAAGAATGAAGGAAGTGGAAGATCAAGTGTAAATTGAGAAAACATCCGAAAAATGCAAAGTAATCGCTTCAACCGAACGGTATTTGCCCTTAACAGTCGAGATCACATAATGATTTACCTTGGGGGCTTCGTTGATTTACAAAAATTGAACCGTCAAGGTCAGATTTGGTCAAGAGTAAGGTGTAATTTGATGAATTACATCTTGATTTGGAAATGGATTGGAGGTTTTGGGGTTGGAAACGGATTGTAAGGTCGTAGACTGGGATTTTTGAGGTCAAAAGAGCTTGAAAAATAGTCGATTACAGTTCAAGTTTAAGTCAAAAACTAGGTGGTAGACTATTCGTAAAGCTGTATAAGGATTCAAAAAAACTCGTAGACTGTCTCTAGATCCATTTCGAGTCCTAAAACAATCGAAAATCCGCAGTAAAAGTAAAAATTCGTCGAATTTTGCCGCCAAACGGCTTACAACTGGTGTCATGCCAAAAACTACAGTGGTGGACCTGATCCAGTGGCAGAAAACGTACCATTTTGCATCCGGGAAGTATCAAAAAATGTGACAAAGTGCCTCCGTCTCTAGCTAAAAGAACTCCGTTTTGAAGGGCCCTTTCCCTCACAAAAAGAGCGGGCGCGCTTTTGAAATCGAATTTTTTTTTTCACTTGGAGAGGGAGGCATTTTGCTACATTTTTTGATACTTCTCGGATGCAAAATGATACGTTTTTTGCCAACGGATCAGATCCGCCACTGTTGTTTTTGACATGACAATACGGATTTAAGCCGTTTGGAGGCAAAATTTGACGAATTTTCACTTTTACTGTGGACTTTCGATTGTTTTAGGACTCGAAATAGATCTCAAGACAGTCTATGAGTCTTTGGGGGTTCTTTTACAGCTTTATGAATAGTTTACCACCTAATTTTTTGACTTCAACTTGCCCTCAAAAGCCTCTTGATTAACTTACTCCGAAAGTCGCCGTTTTTCCAAATTTCCGTTCGATCTCCTTGATGGTCAGAATTAAATGGAAGCCCTCTCTCGCTCTGTCTCTCCGTCTTCTCCTCCACCTTTTCCAGCATTGCGCATTGTGCAGCCTTGACCGTCATTAGAATCGGATGATGACCTTGGGTGCTCTAAGTGTGTCTCTCGTTTCTTTGCTGGTGTTTTTCGGCGGGGTTGTTTATGCTTTCAAGTGTGATGTTCGGACTTGTTTTGCGGGATCCACATCGAGGATTATTGGATCGGACCATGAGATTGGAAGGGGTGATATTGTAGTAGGTGTGATAGGTATAGAGCGGTCGAAAATGAGCCATCTTTGAGGATTCTTTAGTCGTGAAGGATGTAGTGGGGATGTTGATGACATTTAGAAGGTATATATTAGGCCCTCGTAGTCCAGGTCGTCTGTTTTAATAGCTTTTAAACATAAATTTCCTTAATGTAGGCCAAAAAATAATTTTTTTTACTTTTCTCCCTTTTCTCGGCTTTGATTTTTGGAAAACTAGCCACTATTCCATCCTCAGTTTCATTAAGAAGAAATCGAGGTACATTCTGAACCCGCAAGTCTATCAAGATCCCTAATTTCCACCGACCAAACTCATCCGCTCGCCGCAATTCCCAAGTTTTTTATGATTTCGCCCGAGAAAACGATTCAAATTTCCGAATGCGGCTCTTTCCGATCATCTCTCGGACTGTTTGCCCAAAGAAGAGTTTATTATTTTTCTCCGCGCACCGGCATTCGAATATATTATGGGTCATTCAGCGAAAATTTAATGGATTTTATTATAATTTTTTTTTTCGGTGTGCAAAGCGGTTTTAATGGGAAAGTTTTGACCGGTTTCTGATCGTAAAATAGCATTATCTTGCCGGTCTCAAGGGTGTTCTAGGTGGTTTGAATGGTGGGAGAGAAATTTGGTCCCAAGTTTGTGAAGGAATCCAGAAGTTACGTTTTATTGGGATTTGGAGGTCATGGGTTTGTTGTCTGCAAAAAATGTTGTGTAGCACGGCTGAAGCCGTTTGTTGTGAAGAGTTTTTGTAATTTACGGATAAAGAGACTTGATCCAATTGCAAAAAAACTATCATTTTGCATCCGGGAAGTATCAATAAATGTGGCCAAGTGCCTCCCTGTCCAACTAAAACTTTGAAGGGCGCGCTTTTTAAATCGGTGTTTTTCACTTGGAGGGGGAGACATTTTGCCACATTTTTGATACTTCCCGGATGCAAAATGGTACGTTTTTTGCCACTGGATCAGATCCGCCACTTTTATATTTATAGCAACGAATTCAGCTAGCAGATCCTTGGTAGTTTACGTTTAGGCTCCGTTTTTTGTTGTTGTGACTTTGGAAGGGCTTACGTTACGGTGGCAGTCTCCAGAACCTTCCTTTTGGTCATCCCATCGCCATGACTAATATAATAGTAATTTTACAACACGTTCATTGAAGTTACGCAAACCTCCTAACGCAATTTGTTTGCTATGCCGCCTCGTTTTCTCCGACGGAATGAGTAACCCCGTTGCCTTTCACTTCCAACTGACCTAACCGTTCAATCACTGTGAAATCGAAGATTACTTGACGCCCAAAAAACACATTCCGTGCAATGTTTTCTAAATTAGATTTGGGCCTTTTCGAATACTTTTACAATACTACATAAATGCTTCACGTCAGAGGACTGACTCATGCGCAGCCATAAAAACGAAGAAAATTCATCTAGAAGGGGGGTAATTTTTCACTCCGCGCAGGAAAACAAAAAGCCGCCTAATTCGGAAGAAATACCTTCAGGCTTACTCATTTCGGAGTTTGGAGCCTTTGTAAGGTGTTGTACTAAGATTACAGGGGGATGGGAAATGTCTACTGGGTATAGAAAGGGAGGTTCTGATGGTTTTTTGGCAGAAGAGGGCCACAAGTCTCGCTGAGAGTAGATGAAATAGAGGAATCTTGTCGTATTCGAGTTGGCTATTCGATTATTCTTCGGTGGCACGTCCTTTAAATCTTCGTTCTCCTATGTTTTCTCGTTTAGCATCTGTTTTTCACACCTGGCTGCAAACCTCCTTGTCTGATTAACAACAAATTAACGGGAAGTCCCTTCCAAAGGCGTTATTTGTAAAGTTGATTATCTCCGTCTTCAACGAGTTTTTTTTTCGTTCACTCGGTTTTAAGCCCACAGGAAGTGTCGCTTGGAATGTCATCGATCTAGTTTCAATTGTTTCAATTACGCCATCAAAAGCGGGTTCTTCCTTTTATCCCTTTAATGTAATGGAATTGCGATTAGATAGTGGACGGAAGGTTGTAGATTATGCGAAAGGAATATTGTTGATTGTTGGTGTGGTCGTATAACGGATTTGTGTGGGTTGGAAAGTTGTTCGTTATAGAAGTTTTTGGTTGTATTGAGGTTTATTTTGGCCAAAAAATCCTTTTCTGGTAAGGATTTTAGGCCAAAATAACCTCAATGCAACTAATTCCTTCTATAACAAACATTTTTGCCGCCTTTTATACGATTTTTAATTTGGGTTTCGATGACATAAATCAATGACTTTTGTCTGTTGACGATATTTTGAGTCCAATAAACCAATTTCTCAGGTTCTCTGATTTTTATTTGCCCGAAGGCGTAGAAAGTTGAATTAAGGTTCCGCGTTGACCCCCAGACAACGTTATCAGTCACTCTCGCACGCGCAGCACCCACTGCCGGCAATGCATAATCATCCGCACTTCCACCGCCCGCAATAAATCCATCAACGCCGTCGCTGTCGTTCTAACGTGACAGTACGTGCCGTGTTGATAAAACGCAATCACTGCGCGAAGGCCGTCCCTAGGGAAGGGTCAGCCGAGTTTACAACGCTTCGATTACTGCTTTTCCCATTGCATTTTTTCTCTCCCAAACTTTGCGGATAGCCAGCGGTCGAGGAGGGTTCGGGAAACTGATAGAAAAGGAAGTGATAGGTGTTTACAAAAGGTTGGAGATGGGTGGAGAGGTCTTAACAATACTTGGAATTTGTAGCAAGGCGATTGTTGAGTTCTTCTTGGAGAAATGGCGTATGTAGTGTAGAGGAAATGAGTGAGATGTTAGGGTTATTTCCGCCGTTCCGAGAATTCAATAGCTCTCCCCTCCGGCGCATTAAAGTTTTTTGATGTTGCGCTCCGAAAAAACATCAGACATTATTGTTGTGGATCGTTTTGTTTAGAATAGATCGTTTGGAGGGATTCCCGGTTAGCTATAATAGAGAACTAAATTGGTTAGGTCTGACTGTAATGGAGGGCAGAAGACTGCTATAGAGGTAAGAATTGAGTCGTAGGATTTCGATGATTGAAAATTTTACAACACATATCTACGTTAGGGAAGCGACGCTTCGATATTACGCAATCTAAATCCACCTAGCGACTTCGAACCTTCCTTCCGTTACGGCTAGCAATTTAATTAACGCAGGCGCGAAAAGACATGACTAAACATGTTTTTTCCGCGACCTTCTAGCTCGAGAACAACTCAGGTTTAGTGCTTGCTTTTATGGAATGTGATCTACACGATTCCTCCCATCTTTACCCTCTTCTCTTTGCCCCCACACCTCCCAATTTCCCTTGGCTGAACTGTCCTGACAGTAATGTCTGAAATTGAATCCCTCGTCGTCTCAGTAGTGGCTTTCCTGTTTCCTCTTGCGTCTTCCTTTCGTATTTCATTTGTTTGATTCCGCCCGCCTTTATGTGGTTGATCAAGGAAGAGGAAAGGACAGGCAAAAGTCTTCTGAAATTGCTTTATTGGTTTCGTTCCCACCGAGAAGCGCAAAACATGAGTTTAATGGCGCTAAAACGGAGGTTAGCCAGTCTTGTGGATTGTTTTTTGCGGGAAGTTTCCGAGGTTTTGAGCTTTTTAATTAGGCAATTTGAGTTGACTATTGAAGTTTGAGCGGGAAATTCAGTTTTATTTGTGATTCAAGGAGATCTCGGTGAATCATTAGTCATAGAGTCTTCAATTCCGTCTGACCCATCGTTATCTTTCGCTCCGAATCCCTAATTCTAATCCCCGGCTCGCGGCTTGAACCCAAATCATCCGCCTTTCGCTCCTGATTTGGGTTCGAAGCCATTTCGCGCGCCGGAAATTCTTACCTTTTCCGCTGGTTGCGTGTAAATCGGTGCCGACCTCTAATCAGTGAAGACTTCCAACTCGTTGATAATGAAGAAAAAACTCTTCTTTTTTTCGCGCTGGCTTCACAGTCGGCTTTTGTACTCGCGTGGTGCAATAGCAATGTCTCGATTGAAATTCTCAAGGTCTTTTCGTCTTCCACCTAATTTTTCATTGGGTTTCGGAATAAGAATTGCGGTGGTCGATCAGTTTGTTGAGAAGTTTAGGAGATTCTTTGAGAATAGCTTAGATTTGAGAGGATTTTTGAGTCTCCTGATGAATATTTTTGTTGTTTTATTGATTTGATTGTGTTTCTCGACTGTTTTGTTGGGCAAATACTGTTTTCCGATGATTATCTTGTGTCGTTTCGAGTAATAAAGACGAATTTTACAATTTTTTGCCTTAAGGCGTTGGCACCACTCAAAACTCGCAGCCATCCGGCACTTTAGCAGCGTTCTACACCAACAACAAGTGCGTTCAATTCCAACGAACAGATTGCGCGTGGCTCACTGCACGCACGAATGTACAAAATCAACTGCTAACTGCGACATATCTGACTAACTTCCTACTCGGTTTTATCATCATGTACAAGGTATTCAAGTCCTACTCGAAGAAGTCGGAACGAAAACAAAACGAAACTGGCAAACCTCCGATCCATCACTCCGAGTCCTCGTTTTATCAAACCAACGGAGGCGGCGGAATCGTTCATCGCTCCTCCAGTGCCCAACGTCTTGAAGGAGGCCCATTCATAACATCACCACCACCATCCGTCCGCAACGGAGTCCATGGATCCCAGTCGACGTTGAGACGGACCGCGTCGAAAGACAGGTCCGATTATCAACAAGGAACATACTCCAGCGAGTACAGGTGCGTCTTTGGAGGGGTTTAGGGAGGGTATAGGTCATTTCTGGGCGTTAGAATTTGATCCAGTTTGAATTAGTTGACTCTTTTCTATTCCCCCACCTTCCAGATCCCAACAAAACGGCCATCAAAGCCGTCATCAAGCCCATCATGGCTCAACCAGCTCCCTGAAGAATGGCGGCAGTCGTTTCTACGACTCTGCCTTGTCTTATGGAGCCGAAGGCCACGCTGGCGCCTTGGCCGAGCGACGCGGCAGCTGTGGAGGAGCCCACTCTCTCCAGCGCCACACCCAGACCCGCTCCAGCCATCGTCAAGGCTTCAGTGAATCATCGTCCTACGAAACCAACGAGCACTTCGAAAGAAAAGTCGAGCGCGTCAAGCGAACTCGCGGCGAGCGCTCCAGATCCCGCTCGAAAGCCGCGAATGGCAGCAGCGAATACGAATCCCGAGAGCGAATGGCGATCAAGGTAATTCTTGAAGCTTTATGGCTGTTTTTTGTCATTTGATGACAAAATTTGTTACTTCTAATTAAGTTCTCTGTGTTTCCATGCGTACTCGGTTTCTTCCTTTTTTTTAATTTTGTTTTTGCCGAATTTGATCAGAGCAAAACGTTAAAAAATTGTTGAGAATGCTTGAAAATTTGAGAAAACGTGTGTTCATGACATAAAAAATCAAAAAATATTGCTTTGTTGACAAGCAAGGTACAACATATACGAAAACATACGAACGAAAAACCAGACTCATTTCCGCTCAAATTCGAGTAAAAATAAGTCTTGGGAAACACCCGAAATGAATCACAAAAACTGCCTCCATCAGCAAGGTAAGCTGCTAAGCCGATCCACAAATATTCGCCCCACCGCCTGAGTCACAGGCGTCGCCGGGATGTCGCCAAAATTCCGCAGATATTACGCAATCAAGCTTAATTTAAGCGCAGAATAAGAATATACGAAAGTTTTTCGAGGATTTGGAGGACTAATTTGACACCAATTGTCCGTAATGGTTTCCTCTCTCTGATTAAACAGAAGTGCAATATGAATAGCCATGTAGACCTGCAGTCGGTCGGACAAAAAACAACAATAGCCCGGACGCGCGCGCACCCCCTCCGATTCAAAGGCGAATCAAACGCGAATCAGGGGTTTTGCAATATGTTGCGCACGTGGAAATAGGAAGCTCTAATTGGGATCCAAGAGGTAAATGGGTGAGCATTAGGATAGGGAAACTTTATTGGTTTGGGTGAAAGGGAAATTTTGATGTTGAACATGGTCTATGGGTCATAGAGGATGAAATTCTTTGACTAGTCAGTCCGGAAAGTTGCTGAAAAGATTTTTGGCGTTCACTGTGTAAAAAAATTGGAGCAAAAAGTAGGAAATTGCACAATGGAAAGTGAATTTTTGTTTTCTCACAGTGAATGTCGCCGAAAAAGTGGGAATTTATGGCTCCAATGATATTGTATTTCTATTGTTCGTCGTAAAACCGATTTTCGAGATAAAAGGGCATAGGAGGGTCTGTGATAATTCATATTGCTATGTAATCAAAAAAGGGCTTACGAAATTTTCCGACTATTTTAAATTTACCACCATATTTCACATTTATATTGGAAATTTGGGGGTAAATTTAAAATAGCTCGCTTGAGAACTTCGCAAGCCCTATTTTGATTAATATAATATGAATAATCAGGGATCCTCCTATGCCCTTTTACTCCGAAAATCGATTTTATGACGTACAATACAAATATAATATCATTGGAGCCATCAATTCCCAGCCCTCTTGAGCCGTTTCTGGTCCCAAAACCCCCCTCCAAAACGAGCAATTTTGCCCACGGAAAAGCGATCATTCCATTCCCTCCACCACCCCCTTGACATCCGCGAATTATTGTTTGCTCACATTACTGGAAACAGCAATTTGTATTTATACCGTCGCCGTCCTTTTGACTTTTTGACTCATGCTTCCTTGGGCGATCAGAGTCTATTATAGACAAAAACGAAAAGAAAAAGGGGGGAAATCCCTCCGACTTTTCCAGCCTTATATGAATCACGTTCTCCCCCCGAACGAATTCACGCCAGAATAGTTTGGATGGACGGGACTTTTGGCTAATAAGAAATGTTGGAAATGACTTGAGAAACCGGCCCCGCGTTTTGTAACGGGATTTAAAAGGAGGACTTGTAAGGTGGATTGAACGGATTGGCGTGGGATTTTTTTTGATGTATAAGAGTTTTCAAGACCGCGAAGTTTATTTTGAGAATGCTATTCGGTTATCAAAACACTTGATTTGCTTCGAAAATGATTTTTCAAATCAATAGGTCATGTGTAATATCGAGAACGGCTCGATTTTTTGCTTTTTTGTTATTGAATCGTCCATTCACAGCAAAGTAAGCACGTTAAACCATGGTTTCTTGATTTTTAGCCTTGTATGCTTTGAATTGAAACGCTCAAAAAGCCGCAAATCCGAGTCAACTCGATGACCTTTCCGATCTCAAGCCCCAAGGCCAAAATCCTTCTCCAAAACGTTTATTTCTTGCAAAATTTTGTCTTCCCGCACTTTCCGGACGATACAAGCACGTTTAATATTTGAGTTTAGTATAAGTTTCATTCGGCTGTGCAGTGGAAAGAAGCGCTCCCCACCGAACCGCCGGCTGCTGTTTACCTTTTGGTGGCCTATTATTTTTGTCTCCAAAAAGAAAATAATTTGCGGCCGTTTTTTGTTCGCACCTTCCCCTGCCTTATCAGTAGGTGTGGAGCAGCGAAAATCGCACTTTGTGTGTTTTTTTTATAAGCGGGGTTTTCTTGTAGCGAGATGGACACGGCTTCCATACGCGTTTAGCGCTATTGTTGGGGGGTTTTTTCGAGGGTTTTGGTCGATTTGCTATTGTCTTGAGCCTAAAGGGATTGTATATAGCATTGTATTTGCTGTGAATTTCCTGGCTGAAGGCTGTAGTGGGCTGAAAAATGTTTAATCATTTTGTGTACTCTCTAGAGAAAAGTTGCGTAATATCTTTGCTATGGATACAAAGGGCATGCTAAGATTTTTATAGATGGATACGGGAGATATTTAGATTATTTAAGGACAATTTCAAGCAAATCAAAGAGTTACTTTAGTGTAATGTAAGGTAGTTCGAACTTTTTCCCCTCTTTTTGGCGATTTTTGGCGCGTAATGTGACGTAATCTCGGTTTTATTGACGAGTTTTGCGTCATAGATTTGGCTAATGATGTGCTCGATTGATTTTAGTGCCTCATGCGGTTGAAACATTCCTAAAGTCTTCAATTTACACGATGAATTACCTCTAAACCTACTGTCATATAGATATTTCTACAATAAGATATCTTACAAGATTGCTACCTAAAATTTGCCTAAAATGGCATCGCCAAGGTCGGATTACTCACAGCGGTCTGGAGAGAGCCGGCGAAAGGTTGAAAATTTTGAGCCCGTAACTTCAACACCGGCAATATCCGATTTGATGGCGCAAAATCCGGCGAATGCCAACTACACGATGGAGTACAGGTATCATAGAAAAGTTGAGCGTCGGAGGAATGTGGATGAAAGACGGCGAAGAGTGGCCTCATTGCCAAGACTCGCAGACGCCAGCACTTCGTATCAAAAGTCGGAGAATAACGAGGATTTCGAGCGGAGTTCGAGTCGACTAAGTCAACAAAAAGCCTTCCAAAGTCAGCAAAGACTGAATGGACACCGAGAAAATTCAAATGACGCATCGAGAGGACTTCGAAGAACAGCATCAAACCTTCAAGAAGCCGAATACATCTACTTTTCCCCATACTTCAACAAAAATGACGGCAGATTCGCCTCAACAGCGGTGAATACAAGCCATAGAGACGGCAGATATAGCCGGAGTCAAAGCAATTTGACGAATTATCAACGACCACCCACCAATTTGAGTATTCGACCGCGAAGAGAAGAGGTTCAAGTCCTCGCCGAAGAGTCCAAACGGATCTATCGCAAGGTTCAGCGCGTCAAACTGCTGAAACAAGCGTTGGAAGAGACGGAAACGGAGAAGTTGCGGCGAATTCACGCCGAAAACGAACGAAATTTGGAGCATTTGGCTCGCTTAAAGGAAGCCGAGTACCTGAAACGCCGAACCGAAGCCCGGAAAGAGCTTCGCGTCTGGGAGAAACATGACCGATCGGTTTATTTCCAGGCACAAGAACCGCGCCGACGAACGCCGGACGGACAGGCGCTCTCCGCCCGAGAGGCCCTGCTTCAGTGGGCGCGCCAAGCCACCCAAGGCTATCCCGGAGTTCATGTGCAGAACTTTGGCTCATCATGGAGGGATGGACTGGCTTTTAATGCGATCCTGCACAGATACCGACCGGAAACTGTGAATTGGAAATCGGTAAGAGGTTTTATGAAAGTTTTAGGGGAGAAAATTGAGTTTGAAGGGACAAATGGGCCAAGTAGATCCAAAAAGGTCTGAAAAAAGATTAGATTGAGCTGAAATATTGTAGTCAGGGGAGTGTGAGGCCTCGTGGAACTTGGACGAATTTTGAGGGAAAAATGAAGAATTTTTGAAATTTTTGCGGAAAGTTGTGGAAATTTTGTCAAAAAAGCTTGTAGACTCGTCGAGGTTGGTTTCAAATGGCCTGTAAATTTTTTATTATGGGCTAGGGGATATCCTGGTAACTATGGGAGATATTGAGAAAGGATTTTTTCATAGAAAAATTTGGGATTTTTTTTTATTTTTGGGCAAAAATTAAAAAAAAAATTTTTTTTTGGAAATTTAAAATATTTTTGGTTTTAAAATTTTTTCAAAGGGGCTGAAATAGTTTGCAATAGCTGTTGTATGACATAACTTTCATTCTCAAGTTGAATTTCCTACAATAACCGATATTATTTTAGATAAGCGACCGCTACGTTCCAGCCAGAGACCGCCTCCGCCACGCATTCCATGTGGCCGAAAAAGACTTTGGAATTGGCCCACTACTGGATCCAGAAGATGTGGACACGGATAACCCAGACGAAAAATCGATCATGACTTATGTGTCCTCACTTTATAACGGACTCCCATCCCTTGTTGAGGTGATTCAGGTAACAAAAAATGCAAAAATTTGCCGAAAAATGTATAAAGCAGCTTCTCAAAGCTTGAAAATAAAAAAATATGTCGAATGGAACACACGACACTTGAATTTCAAAAAGATTTCAACGATTTTTCAACGCTTTTTTATCGGATTTTGTGGAAATTGCTTGATTTTTTTCTTTATTTGGCTTTTCTTTTTGATTATTTTTAAAATTTTTTTTGTTGAATTATATGGTTTTGACTATGAATTTGCTGATTTTTCATGATTGATATGGGCTGAACTTGAATTGTAGAGCTCGGGAGGCGTCGCCGAAGACATCATTGGCCGCTTGGACCGCGGAATTCAGCTCACCAACGAGCGCTACGACCGCGTTTTGACCCGAATCGAGCGCGTCGAGGAGAGCTACAAGTCGATGAGGACCGAGGAAGTCTCAAGAGAAGTGAATCAGCTGGTTGACGAGCTGGAAAACTCGGCTCAGACCATCAAAACTCTCTTTGAGGATGTGGACCATTTGAGAGATTTGAAACATGAACTCTCCGAGGATTATTATAAACGGTAAGAGAGCGAAAATGGGAGATTTGGAGTGGAAGGGCCTTGGGTTTTGGTAAAACTTGGAAATTTTAACTTTCGACCGATTTATTGGTCGAAAATTCGAAAATTTTTTTTGATGTATTGGAAGTATCTAAAAAACATGAGCTAGAATTTTGAGGAATTGATTTGTGAACTGTCTAGAGTCTACAGTGAAAATTTCTCAAAAATCGACCAGTCGATTTTTGAGCAATTTCAATTTTGACCGGATTGACTTTTTTTGGATTTTTTGCCGTAAATTTTGGTAAAATTAGATTGATCCTACAGCGACAGATCTGATCCAGTGGCAAAAAACGTACCATTTTGCATCCGGGAAGCATCAAAAATGTGGCAAAATTCTTCCCTCTCCAGGTGAAAAAACTCCGATTTTCAAAAAAACACCCTTTTTTTTGTGAGAGAAAGGGCGCGCTCTTCAAAACGGAGTTTTTTCACTTTGAGAGGGAAGCATTTTGCCACATTTTTCATACTTGCCGGATGCAAAATGGTACGTTTTTTGCCGCTGGATCAGGTCCCCCACTGTAAAATACGCTGAATCCCAAGCTAACTCTACTTTTTCCAGCGTGTTTGGGCTACATCAACGCCGCAACGCCTACCTGGACCGGTTGGCCGAACGCTTCCCCGACCATTACGGCCAGTATTCGAGCAGTTCGGTGAAAACCGAGCGTCGCGACATCTCCTCCTCGCAGGCGGCGCGCGACGCCTCCGCCCAACGCATCTACCAACAGCAACAGCAGACCCAACAACAGTCCGAGAGGTATTTGCAGAAGAGAAAGGCTAACTTTGACCGCCTGAATGAAGCCATCCGATACGTGGAGGAGAAGCTGAACGAATTGAACAATATGCGGTTCGTTGAGGACCTGGAGAAGCTCGAAACCACCTTTGATCGACACAAGGTGGACAACAGAGACATTCAGGACTACAGGCAAAGCGTGGACGAATGCATCGCCAGACAAGTAGGTGATTTTGGGAAAAAGGTTGGGCTTGGGCCAAGTGGAATATAATTTTTTGAATTTTTTGGGGGTTTTTGCGAAAGAGTTTGATAGTTTTGAGTGTATTATGAAAGAATAGGCTCTGTGGAGTATTAATTTAAAAGTTTTTGGTAGAAAATTTTTGGATTTTTTTCTTGAAAATTTGATTTTTGACCCTAAAGTAATATAAAAATCCTTCATTTTTCAGGCCGAAATCTCCGCCGAAGACACTCATGAGTACTGTAATTTATTGGCCAGACTAGAATCCTCATACCAACAACTCCGCGACCTGAGCGCCGGCCGAATGTTGGACCTGGACACGCTGATCGCCTTCATCCGCGCCGCTCAAGCCGAACTGGTCTGGATTCAGGAGCGGGAAACCATTGAAGTGGCCCGCGATTGGTCCAGCATCGCTGCGCTGGACCTCCCAATGCTCCAGAATTACTATCGGCAATTGCTGCAGGAGATTGAGATTAGAGAACGGATCTTTAATGATGTCCATAATCAAGGCGCCGCTCTGATCAATCAACGTCATCCCGCCTGTGACGTCATTGATGTCTATCTCAGATCCATGCAGAATCAATGGGACTGGCTGTTGGGACTTTCGAAAGCTCTGGAAGGCCATTTGAGAGACGCGATCAACGTGAAAAACTTTACCGAAGAAGCCGATAACCTGGAAATTTCGATGAGAAAACAAGTCGAACACCTGGAACGCAATTATAATCAGACCGATTTCACCATTGAAGATGGAGAAAGGTTCCTCAGAGAGCTGGACGAGATTGGAGAATTCGTGAGAAAGTATCAGAGCGTTTTGTTGAGTCTCGATGAACGCGCACAGAGCTTGAGTCCGCTCTGGCAAAGAGGAGAACGAATCCATCACCCGACCAAAGTGACGGCCTGGTGTGACTACGCAAAGGATGGAATCAACATCGCCACTGGTGGGTTTTGAGAGGATTTGGAGGGAAATTTTAGGGGCTGGGTCAATTTTTGGGGGTTTGGATAGTTGTGGGAGAAAAATTTATATTGTACATGAGGTCAAGGTGAAAATTGTTGAAAATTGAATGATTTGGATGATTTTTGGGGAAATTCTTTTGTAAAAAATGACTTAGCGGAATGTAAGATTTTATGGGCAATTTTTTGGATTTTTTTTTTTGAGATCAAAAATTATATTATCCATGAGATGAGACAAAAAAAAATTTTGGTTTTTTTGTGAAAAATTCTACTGGATTTGTGCCAAAATGGAAAATTAAGTGCTTATAAGTGATTTTTGAATCTGTTAAAGCATTAATTTTATGTTTTAAGACCAAAAATTATATTATCCATGACATCAATTTTTCCAGGCGACGAAGTCACCCTCCTGGACAACTACGACCGCCTCAACTGGACTGTCCGTGATGTAACAGGCCGCCAAGGCGTTGTCCCATCCGTCGTCTTCAGAATCCCCCCACCGGACACCAGAATTTCCGACTTTGTGACCCGTCTGCGCGCTCAGTTCGATCGCCTCCGCCGCCTCTGGGAGCAGAAGAACCGCCGCATCCGCTACAACATGATCCTGAACACAATGCGAACAGTGAGAAGCTGGGACCTTGAGACCTTCCTGTCCATCCCACCAGACCAGCGAGACGAAATTATCAGGGCGCTGAATGAGGACACCCAAAGATTGCTTTCGGAGCTCCCCGAAGATGACCCCATGTACAGAAGATTGGCTGAAGAGTTGAAGCTCACCAATGAACACATTTCGTCGTTGTTGATCGAGGCCAACAAACCAAAAGGTAGGTTTTTGTGGGGGTTTTGGGATCAGATGCCTAGTGTAATATAAAAATGTTGGGTTTTGTAGGTTAACGGTGGGGTATTTTATTGAGGCGGTTGATTGAGTTTTTATGAGCTATTATTTGTCGGAAAATGAATTTAGAACTTTTTTTACGAAAGGTTGAGTATCAGATGTCTAGTGTAATATACAAATGTTGAGATTTGTGGTTTATTGTTGAAAAGTTTGATTGAAAATGCTTTTTTATGGATAGTTAGGCTTGAAAATTAATGATGACTGTTTTTTTAAATATTTTTTAATATCAAATATCTAGTGTAATATAAAAATGTTGAGATTTCTGGTTTATTGTTGAAAAGTTTGATTGAAAAGGGTTTTTTATGGATAGGTATCCTTGAAAATTAAGGATGACTGCTTTTTTGAAAAATTTTTGGATATCAGGTGCCTAGTGTAATATAAAAAAATTCCCATATTTGAATTTAATGGCGATTAGGACATGGGTATTCTCATAAAATGACGAAAAATCTCTAATAATCCAATTTTCAGAGCCCGACCACTCCCAGAAATTCGACACCGCCATCAACGATTTGCTGCGAAAGCTGGACGATGCTTGGGAAATTCTGAATCAAAGAGTGGGCCAGCCCGTCGCCAACGGCATCCAACAGCTCTACGAGCACGTGGACACACACAAGATCTTCGAAGAGAACCTGCAATCGCTGGAGACGGACGTTTCGAATGTGAAGGAGCTGTTCCGCCAGATCCCGAACCCAACTCCATCCCAAAAAGCTAACCACAAACACCTGAACAACCGCTGGGAAGACCTCTGGGACTTGTCGCGAATGCGAGTGGAGCTCTTCAAGGTCCTGGAGCACGTTTTGCAGGGCATGGACGAGGTCTACGACATTGTGAGACGCCACGAAATCACTCTGAACTCGTTTGATGACCTCCCCGCTGCACTAGACAAACTCCGTGGGTGCCACGCTCAACTCCTAGAGTTGAATATGGTCCTCCAACAACAGCAGAACATTGTCGATGATTTGAATCGCAATGTGGCCAAGTTGCGACAACATGTCGCCAGAACTCGGCACGACAAAATCCAACATGTCGATGTGGATAACTTGGAGGAATTGGTCCAACAAGTGACCGTACGCTGGGAAAATGTCCAATCCCAAGTGACGGAGCGACTCCGAACCGCCGAAGAAACTCAACAAATCATGATGGTCTACCGCAGCCAATATGATGAAGAAATTCAATGGTTAGATAGAGTGGAAAGAACTATTGAAACCCTCAGAAACCCCAATGATATCAGACCAGAGGAACTCCAAGCTCAACTGGATCAGCTGACCGCAGAATACGCACAGTTGCAGGAGCACACAACCACCATTGAAAGCATCAACCATGAAGGAGGGAAGTATATTCGTGATGCGAGAGTAAGTTGAAGGAGAGATGAGGGTTTGAGACAAAAATTTTTTGGGGTGAAAGCTGGGAAATTTACTGGTCCGTTTGCAAAGATTTTTCGAGGAATTTTTGATTTTTTAGCGAAATTTTTGATTTCTTTTTTTTTTGAAAAAATTTTTTTCTTGTAGAAATAAGTGTTTTGTTGTGGATAAAATTTTTTTTGATAGAAAAAGAGAGCATTTTCACAGGTTTTTGTGATTTTTTGAAGGAAATTTTTACTAAAAAAATTTTTGAAAAAAAAAAATTATGAAAAAATCGCAGTTTGCGAATCAGCTATAAGTTTTTTGCTAATAGCATCGTACTTGAGGATATTTTTTTGGCTTATTTTTGCGATTTTTTTACGGAAAATTTTTACATATTTTTCACCAAAAAAATTGTCTCCCCCAAAAAATTCATTTTTCCCCCAAAAAAATTCATTTTTCGATAAAAAAATTCAGTTTTCCCCAAAAACTGACATAAAATTTTGATTTTTCAGACCTACGACATGCGTCTCGCCCAATTCCATGACGTGGTTGTCAACCATCACGGTCTCTCGATCCGAAACGAATTCCGCCGAAGCGAAAATCAATACGAAAACGGCGCTCAGGTCGTCACCAGAGAATTGGAAGCCCTGAACAGACGCTTTGCCCAATTGTCGAGCGTGATTTTGGAGCGCAAGAACATTGTGAATCGCCTCATTCAGAACTGGAGAAGAAAACAACAGGTTGGTGGAGAGATTTTTGAAAACTTTTTGAGGAGTTTGTAGATTTAGAAGAGCTGAAAAAGAGATTAGAACATGAGTTTTGACAATTTTAGAGGCTTTTTTAACTGCTTTTTAGAATTTTTTGCCCAAAAATTTTTTTGAGATGGAGTTAGCGGCTAAAATAAGTGGAAATTACTTGATTACAAGTCTTCTCCCCCAAGAAATTACCTCCAAATAATCCCACTAACATTTTGACAAGGTTCGGAACTGAGTTTCATCAGTTTAAAGTACGACAACAATCTACCGATCGACGTTTTGACCAAAAAAATTTTTGAATTTCTTGAAAATTTGACATTTTGGCGGTTAAGAGAATCGAAAAACGCTTTCAATTCTTATGTTCTCCCTCCCTTAAAACCCCCCAGCTTTGTAATAATTTGGCCGCGATTACAGCCACCGTAATCGCGTCGAAAAGCTGTTTTGTAAGTCCATTTTTTTTAGTTTTTGCTTTTCATTGTAAAGATTTCGGCCAAGAAATGGATGGAAAAAGGATGTAATCTTGCCCGAAACGACGCTTCATTTTATTTGCTACGAGTTTTTTTTTTCATTTGCTGCCATTGTGAACCCAAGTCTGAGGCGAAAAATTGATGATTTTGGGAAAAAATTGCAAAAATTTGTGTGAGAAAATAGGAAATCTATCGTTTTTTGTTGGTCTGTCGCATTTTTTGGATGTAAATTTTCTGAAAATGTCAAAAAAAAATGATGGATTTTTGACGGAAATTTTGTTTGAAATTTTTTCAAAAAAAAATCAATTTCTCAAGTTTTGATTAAAAAATAGCCGAAAACGATAATTTTCCCTCAAAAATCGTCAAAACCCCATAATTTCCCCTCAAAAATCATCAAAATCCCATATTTTCCCTCAAAAATCATCAAAATCCCATAATTTTCCCTCAAAAATGATCAAAATCCCATAACTTTCCCTCAAAAATCATCAAAATCCGATGATTTCCCCCCGAAAATAAAGTTTTCCCCACCCACCAATAGGAACGCTGTCCTCGATTTTGCGCTATGTCTCATAACGAACCCATTACCGCCCCCAAAAAATCTCCGAAAGCATTCGAGAAAACGTTGGCACCCTCCCTGAATGTAGTTGTCTGTTTTTGAAGTGATTAGTGAAAATTTGATGTAAAATAGAAAGTTTGATGATGTTTGCCGTCTTTTCCAGCATGTCACTAATAGAATAACGACCGGTTTTGCGAATAGAGACCGAAAAATAATGTTTACGAAGGCTTTGTGGTTTGCTGTGCGCTTTGAATGTCACTAATATGTCCCCCGAATTTTTTACGTTTTCAACTAACCCCCATGCTATTAACCGCATAATATTTTACCCAGCCAACGCCTAACCCGCCCTGGAGTCGATTGGCAGACAAGAAAATGGATGTTTATGATGATTTAAGACTAAAAAATCAATGTTTTGACCTTGATTTAGACGAAATTTTGAAGTTCAATGTCCAAGATCTTGTCAGCCAATCGAATGTGCAACCTTTTCTCGAATGCCGCCCAAAATGTCCCAGTTTTTTGGAAACATTTTGAATTTTCTTCAATTTTTTTGCGTTATGAGACCTAGAAGCCAAAAATAAATTTAGCGTTCGGTGGTTTGTTGTTTGTTTTATTCATTTTTTTGTTCGGCGTTTTATGTTTTTGATGGTAAATTAACAGTTGTGAAGTCTCCTCCCTCTAATTTGAGTTCCTTCTCCGAGTTGGTTGCGTATGCCGTTGTTTGTGTTTTTAGGAGGAGGAAGACCGACGTCGCGCCGAGGAGGAGCGAAAACTCCGCGAATTCGAAGAAGCGCGCCGTCGCGCTCTGGAGGAAGCGGACCGATTGCGGCGAGAACGCGAAGCGGCGGAGGCGGCGAGGCGAGCGAAAGCCGAAGAGGAAAGACGGCGAAGAGATTTGGAGGAGCTGGAGAGAAAACGCCGCGACGCTGAAGATGCGGAACGCCGAAGAAGGGAGGAAGAAGATCGCCGTCGCAGAGACGAAGAAGAACGAAGACGACGTCGCGAAGAGGAGGAGCGACGTCGCCGAGAGGAAGAGGAACGTCTACGGCGCGAAGAAGAGGAACGAAGACGTCGACGCCCGGTAAGAAGCTTCACCTTTTTCACCCTTACTAGTTTTTCCCTTCCTTGGTTGTGGTTTTCATCTTTTTTTTTGTTTCGCTTCCTTTCGTTCGTGCCATAACACTAACTGGGATCGTCGATTTCCGTAGTAACATTTTCTGTCAGTTCCACATTAGCACCTTCAAAATGTCGTAACACTTGCATACAGTCTCGGGCTGGATCATGTGGCAAAAATGCATCCAAATGTCCCTTGGACTGAATTAAAATGCATCCTTTGCATACTTTTTCTGGCAGAAAGAGCTGTTTCTTCAGGAGAGGATCATGAGAAACAATAAGACGTTTCTCATTATCCTCTTCGGATGAAGCAACTCTTTTTGCCAGAGGGGATGAAAGAGGATGCATTTTAATGCATCCAGGAGGCATTTAGATGCAGTTTTTGTCACGTGATCTTGTCCAGGACTGTGACACACTTCTATCAAGAACAAAGAATAATTGTGATGATTTCAGGAACCTTTGATCCGACAGGCCACCGGAATGCAACAAGGTTTCCAAGGCGAAGACTACGACACCTTCGATTCGATGGGAAAAGTCCCAGACCGCGCTCATCTCGCCGAACATGAAGACGAAATGGAAAGATTTGATGAAGAAACGGTTGTGAAGACACAGTTCTACGAAATGGAAGGAAATCTCCATAAACAAACAGGAGAAGTTTTGTCGGTCATGGAACAACTCCGACAAGGAATCTTAAACCGACAGGGCGAATTCTTTGATATTGAATCCGGCCGAATGATCTCGCTGGAAAAGGCGGTGGAGAAGGGTCTAATCAAAGAAGATCTGCAGACTCTGTTGCACTCTTCGTTTGGCTTACGCCACCCAGAAACCAAAGAGTCGATTAATCTCCAACAAGCAATCCAGATCGGCCTTTATGACCCCGAGATGAGGCAGCTGAGAGACATCCATACGCAGGAGATTTTGCAATCGTATGATGATGTTTGTGACACAAGTACTGCTCGTCAATTGATGAACATGAACATTCTTAGAATGCCTCCACTTTCAGTTGATACTGCGTTGTCGAAGCACAAGATCAACCCAGTGACTGGAGACTTTGCCTCGAAGGTTGACAAAGACTCGACAATCACCTTGGCCGACGCTCTGGCCAATGGATATCTGCAGTTCTCGAAGCAAGGAGCTCCAGGACTTGCCCTAAGTTTAAGCGATTGTATTCGCGAGGAATTTGTTGACATTTCGAACGGAACTTTTGTCGACAAGAATCTTGATGATAATGTGGCAGGAAAACGATTCACTTTCCGTGATGCTTTGGCAAGAGGAAAGGAATTGATCAACGAAGGAATTTTGGAGATCATCAATACTCAAACCAACCAGAGAATCACGTTGAATGAAGCCATCAGGTGCAAGTCGATTGACCACAAAGAAGGCAAATTCCAAGACTTGAAGAATCGAACCCATCTGACGCTTGGTCAAGCTTATGATCGAGGATACATTGGAAAGCCTTTGACTCTCACTGAAGCCGTTGAAGAAGACGCCCTTGACCTGAGCGGCCGATTCTATGAGAAAGGAACTACCAACAGATACACTCTGATTGAAGCGGTTTCTCATGGCCTCTTAGACGGGCATGTCCGCCATATCGTGGATAAGAGCGAAAACGATGTTGTCAGCATTATCGAAGCTCTCGAGAGAGGATTGTTGTTGGCAACGGGAAAGATTGTCCTTGAATTGACCCCAGATGGAAAACCCAACAATCCGATTGACTTGTTCGAAGCCAAACATCGAGGAATCCTCATCAACAGACAACGCCACAGCATTTTCGATGTAAAGGCCATCCGTATTGGTGACCGCATGTTGAGCTACAATGAAGCCGCCAATGAAGGACTTCTTGACGAGAAAACTGAGACCATCAACCATTTGTCTTTGCAAAGCGCCAAGGATCGCGGAGTTCTCGATGAACTGCTTTTCAACATTCTTACCGAGAAGATTGGAATCAAAGAGGGAGGAAGAGAATTGTCTCTGATTGAAGCCGTCAACGCTAGATTTGTTGATCCATATAAAGGAGTCTTCTTTGATGGAACGACTGAAATGTCAGCCAAGGGTGCGTATGATGAAGGGTTTATCACTCTTCGGGGAGCCATGCGTCTTGCCGGACTACTAAATGTCCATCCATCCTTGATTGTCTCGCAGAAGAAGCTGGACAGAAAGAAGAGAATTGCCCGTCCGGGTCAAAGTATTGGAGAAGGTTCAATGAGAGTGACCGTTGAAGAAGCCATGAAACAAGGTCTCATTGATGGATCTACTCAGAGATTCAGACAAGGAAACATTGACTTGTCCCTCCAGGAAGCTCTGGACAGAGGTCATGTCAAATTGGATGACGAATGGATTGTGCCCAAACGCCACTCCGCTGCCGGGCCAACGATTGAAGAAAAGACGACAGAATCTGTTACTGAGACCGGTCAACAACTCGCACCAAAGATCTTCCCCGACAAACAATTGGAGGAGAATATCCATACGGTGAAAAGAGTCAAGAGAACCGAGACCTCGGCCGTTGGAGGGCCTGGAGGAGTATCCGTTTATAGAGCCATCGCTGGCGACAAAGACTCGGTTGAAGTTCCGGCCGATGGTTATCATATCCTGGAAGCTGAACGAAAGGATGTTGTTGATTTAAAAACCGGAGTCGTTAGAATTGGAGATAGAGTTCTAAATGTCAGAGAAGCTTTCGATTGCGGCGTATTGAACCCAAAATCAATCTACATCCGAGACAGTCGAACCAACCGGCAATTGAATGCATTGGAGGCTCTTGATGCCGATATTATGGATCAGAATGGCTTTATAAACCATCACGGAAGGCTTATTTCTTTGAGAGAAGCCATTGATGATCGCGTGGCACGAGTTGAAGCCGAGCCACCAGCCGTTCTCCGCGAACAGAACAATAAAGTCATCCAATTCGACAGAAACAGCGGCCAGATTCTCAGCTTCCGACCAATTGGTCAACCCCAGGTCGAAGAGCACGTGACCAGCTGGACCTTCGATTCATCTACAGGAAAGATGACCGATGAAAGCACCGGCGAAATTTTGAGTCTTGATGCTGCCCTTTTGTCCGGAAGAATCAACACTGAAGATTGGTTTGCTGTTGACACGTTGAGTGGCCAACAGTTGAGCTTTGAGGAAGCAAAGAGAAAAGGCATCATTGTCATCAGAGGAAGCGAACATTACTACTTTGATAAGGAGAATAACACTCGTCATTCTTTTGCTGAAGCCGCCCAACAACAAAGAATTTACCCGAGTGGTGGAGTCCCAGAGAATGCTGGAGATGCGGTCCATACGACTGTGAAGATTCAAACGAGATCAGTTGTAACTCAGAAAGAAGCTGTTACTGAGAAACCCGGGGCAGGCTATAACCTCCATCGCTTCATTGAGAGTGGACTTTATAATCCAACAACTGGAGAATTCACCCATCCGGAAACGGGTAACGCCCACACCATCAGAAGTTTGGTAATGAAAGGATTTATCGACCCCGTGAACACTCGGGTCCATGACCGCCGAAGAAATGAGTACATCAGCATTATTGACGCCATCGAGAAGAAGATTGTGGATGTTGTAGAAGGAAGAGTTGAGGATACTGCGACAGGAAGACGCCTCGACTTCGCCGAAGCTCTAAGAGAAGGCCTGGTCAGAGAAAATGCCTTGCCAGCCGCGATTGAAGGGCCATCTGGCAAGTACAACATCGAGACTGGTGAATATCGCTCCAGATCCGCTGCGAAATCAACCTCACCCGGTAAGATGATTTTCTGATTCGAAATATGGATGACTTATTGCATCATATATCGATGTCATCTTTTCGGAAATAATAGGAATGTTTGTAGGATGGGCATAAACAGACCCATAACCAAGCATTTATCATAGCCAAAGAGTTCTTTCAATGCCATAGACGCTACATTAATCAAAAGAAGATATAAAAACCTCTAGCTCGCCGAAAACACACTTACATTTCTGTTTATGAACCTCGATAGTGCCAATAAACCATTGACTTTCTTTTATGATAGTGCCAATAAACGTTGTCATATTTACACTCTTGGATTTAACTCGCTTTCTTTGTAGTTCGCTCCTTGGGATCGGTCTCACCACGGCTTCAAGAGCGAAAGCTCAAACTTACCCCTTTTGCACAAGAGCCGGAACCCCGCTCTTACTCACCACACCGTCCAACTTCCAGCACCTCGTTTGTACGGAGTCAGGTCTCCACAATTGAACACTCGAACGGCAGTGGAGCTGTTGTTCCTGCTTCGAATGGAAACACCAGACTGGTCGATTTGGGAGGAGGAAAAAATGTCATGGTCAACGTGATCAAGGACCCGGAGACCGGAATTGAAAAAGGACAGTATTTGGATCCAGCGTCGGGCATGAAATTTACGATTCAACTCCATGGAGATCCGCATGTCACACAGACCACGACCAATGTCAGATCGTCGTCAAAAGTTCAGTCAGTTGAACTTGTCCCACACGCTGAATTCGTCGGGATCGACTTGATCAGAGATAACCGAACCGGCAAAGTTATGAAGCTGGAAGATGCGCAAAGACAAGGCTTGGCTAAAGTTCATAAGACCAGCAAAGAAAACACCAAGACTTATTCGGCCTTCAGATCTAACATTGAAGTCGCTGTTAACAAGGGAATTCTCAACAAGTGGGCTGACAAAGTCTCGGTAGAAGAGGCCATCAAAGAAGGTGTTTTGGACATTACGAACTTGGCTTATATCCATCCACACACCCACGAACACATCCCAATTGCAAAAGCTGCCAATATGGGACTCGTGGACGTGACTTTGGCCGAAACCCTGCCAAAAGGAGTGTTGAATCCAGTGAACGGAGAGAATATCTCAGTTCAGGAAGCCATTAACCTCGGAATTATCTGTCAAAAAACTGGAGAGGTCAAGAATCCGCAACGACAAGAGCGTTTGACTTGGCTCGATATCACCAAGCAGGTTTATGCCGCCATCTCAAGCCAAGGAGTTTATGACCCAACGAAAGGATATTCGGTCCCGATAACTGCGGCATTGAATGATGGACTTATTGATGTGACTACTCAGAAATACAGAAACCCAATTTCTGAAGAGACATACACTTTGGAGGAGGCGCAAAAGAAGGGATTACTGGACGCCGATTCGTTCAAAATCTTGACCAGACCTTTTCTCCAGGACTACAGAACCTACAGACAGCTGAATTTGGTCCAAGCCGTCGATGCAGGTCTCATTGACACCAAGAATAGAACAGTTCAGACCGGCGCGGATAAGATTCAGCCATTCAGAACGGCTATTCAAGAAGGAATCATCCCTCGCGATATTGGAGAAGCTTTGAAGAAGGTGGATAAACTCACGTTTGCTGAAGCTGTTGGAAAAGGGCTGATTGATATCGCAAAGAACACTTTCACCGACCCGGACACTGGAAAGACCCTGTCGGTTCAAGAAGCCGCTGGATCCGGACTCGTTGACATCGGAAGCTACGGGCAGGAAAACGAAACCAACCTGGCAAATGTCATCCAATCCCACACCTTCGACCCCAGTTCTGGAAGAGTCAGAGATCCCAATAGTGGGCTTAATGTCCCATTCAGAGATGCTATCGAGAGAAAGTTGATTGATCCAGACTCGCTGATTCATGATCTGGACTCCTCAAGAACCCTGACTGTCCGCGAAGCGATCTACGCCGGAATTTTGGATTCGAACGGAAGATATCATGACAAGAAAACTAACAGCTTCCAATCCATTGTCGACGCCGAAAAGCAAGGTCTGATCGCACTTATTGCCTCTCCAATGCAAGCAGCTCATGCTGTAGCGGAAGCCATTAAAAGAAAGGATTCCGAAGGCGTGAGGTACAAGTTTGGATCACTGGACGACACCTCACTCCATCGACAGAGCTTGCCGAAGGTCAAGGAAGAGCAAACCATCTTCAGGATTGCCCCAAAGAGGGCTGAACCAGGCCTCTCGGTCAGAGTCAGGTCCAATGTCAGCGATGATCATCGATCGTCTCGTGGAAGATCATTGGTTGAGGATCCTGTTGCTTTGGCCGACCTTCAAGACGAATTTTTGGACAAACTGAAACAAAAGGGATTTGATATCGAAAGCAGAGTGGTCGAAAATCCATCGACAATGCAGAACGTCTCGCTCAGAGAGGCGGTGGAAACCGGACTTTTCGACGTCCCAGCGCAATCCATTGTCCATCCAACCACCGGCAGACATTACCCATTGGCCAAAGCCGTTCACATGCGAATGATCAGAGATGAGGCCGGCAAGAACCTGTTGAATGCGCTCAATATCTCCCATGACGATCTGGGACAACTTTCCCCTGGACTTTTCGGCTCATCATCGCACCTCGCGGCGCATTCGCCCGCCCCAATCGGCGATGATCCAATCCTAGCGCAAGCCGGAAGGAATGGAACACAGTTTTCGGAACAAACCTTCAATGAAAATAATGGAACGACCACAAAACGAACCGAAACTTATGTTTCGCCCGATGGAACGACAAAAACCACGACTTACAGCGAAACTACCCGTCGTCACTATGAATAATAAGGCTCAATATGAAGGATAGTTCCTAAATAGCCCCAAAATTTATCGATTTTCGAACCAAACCACAAGAAAGTACACAATTTATTTTATTCGCATTTCTACCTGAATCAATGTTGCTCCCCCTTATTTTTTTTATTTTTTTTTTGAAATTTTTGCTTACATATCCCCCTAGTCTTTTGTAAATACCCTACCGTAACTTTCGACATATCGAATAGTCGAAAAAAAACCCATTGTTTGTGCCATGAACAACCCAATTTGAATCTAAAAACTCGAGAGATTTCTTTTATTTCCTTGCATTTTCCACTTCAGAGATATACTTACATGCCACATACCCCCCAGATACTTTGATTTCAATTTTCATTCGGTTATTATTTGAATAAATAAAGTAATTAATAAAAATTTGCGAAAAGTAAGGAAAATTTTTAAATTTTATTAAAATCTTGATAAACAGGTAAGTGAAACGTCCCAAAAAACGTCGATCGGTATGTGAGAGTTGTTGAGTGAAGTGAATAAAGTTGAAATGAAGTGTTGCTGTTGACTAAATAAACGTAATTAACAGAAAAAATCCTGAAAAATCTTGTTTGTTCAAAATAAATTCAAAAAATCGAATTTAGGACGAAGCCTCAGGCTATAATGAAGCCCTCAAATCTCGACCGGTCTCAATGGCCATGTCCAGCCATTCAATTCCCACTTCTGACCTCGGCGACCAGGCTTTGAGACATTTGGAGGTCTTTGAAAAGTATCAGCGAAAGGGATCGAATGGATTCAGCGAAGCGTCGGATATTCAGGTGAGGAATGTAAAATACGATGTGATGAATAAATGGGGTTTTAAGGACACAGAAAAATTTTTACTGTGGCGGCTTTAAAAATTGGAAAAAATGTGAAATTTTTTTGCGAATTTTGCCATGAAAAAGTTTCGTACCTGTTTCTACCGTAGATGGTAATGCTTCCACCAAAAAACAATTTTTTCCGCGCGAAAGCGGCAAAGATACGGCGAAAAAGGGGTTCACGGTATGACAGCTCTCCTCATTTTGCGTACTCTCTCGGCCGCAAAGGTCGTTGAATATCTCGGCGGCCCCTGCAAAGAACGAGCTAAAACTTTCAGGCATTGAAATATGATCCATACCTGACGTGTGTGCGAAATTTAAAGAAAATCTGAGCGTCGAATTTGGAAGCCTTTCCTCGTAAAAAAAATCTAATATCGACCCAAAATTTAGTTTGAAAAAACATTTTTGGGTATTGAAGTTGGATGGATGGGCAACTGATTTCCAGTTAGTCATCATGTCCTTTCCAGAACTCCACTCTCGACTCGATCCACGGCAGCGAACAGGACCGCGAACTCGGCGCCAGCGTCTACATTGACCCCGATGGGTCCTCAATTTTCAGTCAGTCGGCCGGAAGAAACAGCAACATTGGCCAATCCAGGAAGCCCACCACAAAGCCGGACAAATACTCGCCAAGATCGGATGAGAATTTGGTGGAGCAGAGTGTATACGAGCAAAATATGGGCACCTCAACTTATGAGACATCAGCTGAAAGGATGACTAAAAGTCAGATCGCACCAAAGGACTTGAACGCCAACTTTGATTCGAGTTTGGTCAGAAATAAGGTGGGTTGGATTCTAAAGAGATTGGAGGGCGCTTTGTGGCTGAGGATTGGCTATTTTGGAGGCTTTGAGGGATTAAAGATGTAGTGTAATATAAAAATTGTTGAAATGGTGCATTTTAATAGAGGAAGTGGGGTTTAAGAGATGGTATTAGAGTTTCTGAGCTTCTGAATGCTCTGTGTGTGGAATAGAAGACTTTTCTAGAGCAGCCATGCCTAGTATAATATAATTTTTTGGCCGAGGATGACTTTTTTTTGTCAAAAATTTTATAAAATCGAAGGGAAAGTATCAGAAAATGTTTTTTGGAGATTACTTTATCTTTGTGGAGATTTATTTTTCTCTAAAAGTGTCCAGAAAGGATCTTTATTACCTAAATTTTCAATTTAACGTGATATTCCCCTCTTTAGGATGATTGATCTCTCGTTTTGATCGGTTCAAGATGATTAACCTTACGCTTGATTAATCTCTGAGGTCTTTCTCCTTTATTTTGTAAAGAAATCTTTGAGTCCAGAGCCTCTGGAACGGAGTATTGTGTAAACAAAGGGATTTTCCTCGTTTTTCAACGGATTTACTTAAAAATTCGTTTTTTGTTTTACATCAAAAATCAGTTTTTGTGAACTCCAAGGTTGTAAAAATGAGTTGGCAAGGGGTTTACTTCACTTTAGAGGGGTTATTAGAGCTTTTTAATCGATTTCCTCCGACTTTTCTGAGGGAAAATATAATTTTTCGAATTTTTTGGGGATTTCCTGGAGTAAACTTGATTTTTTCGGGTGGGTAAATAGTAGCCCAGCCCTCGGGACGTGTTATATTAGCAGTTAAAATCAGGAACACATGCCTTCTCAATAACTTTTGGCAGCATTTCGAAAGAAGAGGCGGATTGCGGAAAAACTTATAAATTTTATTGAAAAATGGGCTTGAATTTTTATCGTAATATTTTTAGAGGGGTGTAAGGAGAATATAGAACGATTTTTTGTTGGAAATTTCCCGATTTTTTGTAAAAAAAAATTTTGAATTTTTTGGATTTTTTGAGATTTTTCATTTTTTTCTTTTATTTTTTGAAAAAAATTGATAAAAATGTGAATTATGATGCCCTAAGGTAATTTACATAAAATTGGAACAAAAAATCGCATTCAATCTCCAATTTTAACCCAGTTTAGGCCAAAAACACCTAAATTGGCCCTAAAATAAGGTGGAGGATGACTATTTTTAATCCGCAATGAGGTCAACACGACCTCAACAACTGACCACTGTCCCCAAATTGATGTTTAGCCAAAGGAATCTCCAAAAAATGCCACTTTTATTGGCTTTAGCGCTCGTGCGGCCCCGAAGCCCCGTTTACCTCTCTTTCTTCCTCTCTTCCCACTTCACCTGTTCCGAAATCCTATCAAATTTATTTTGCAAAGCGAAGCAGAGGGAACGGAGAAGTCTCAGCAAACTTGTTGTTATTTTTCGGGGTAAAATACGCCTTGGTGAACGATATTTGATTTTTTTTTCCAATTTTTGGCCTAAAATAATGTTTTTTGGGGATTTTTTTATAGATGTTGCGGTTCTTGATCGACGAAATGACTTGTAAACGAAGTTTTTTACCTTGTTGTGTAATAAAAAGTAAAAGAATTTGAGAAAAGGCAGACTTTTCGACCTTGTTTTAGCAAAAGGCTAGTGTAATATAAAAAGTTTGTATACCATTGTGTTTATGATTCAGAAACGGCCAAATATGAATTCATATTATATTTTGAGGGCTTTAAAAAAATTTTTAATTATTTTTTTTTTGTAAAAAATTCGTATTTTTCGACCTTATTTTAGTAAGGTCAAGTGTAATGTTATGCAAAAATTGTGGTAAATTTGATGTTTTTAGGTAATAAGTGTGACGGAAAGGGATTTTAAAATGTTTTTGACGCTTTTTTAAAAGTGTAAAGTAATTATTTTTTGGGGAAATAAAAATATTTTGACCTTATTTTAGTGTCTACCTCAAATTAGTCTCAATTTTGCTAATTTTTGAGGTATATTTTGGGTGGAAATTCTGAGAATTCGAAGTTAAAATATGTTATTAGATGATTTTCGAAATTCCACATCCATCAAACCCCTGTTTCGCGCGATTATGTCCAATAATTCATCTTTTTGATTGGTTCTCCCGCCAAAAATATGAAAAACGTTTGTTTTTGATTATTTTTGCTCGTGAAATAAATGAATTTCGACGTAGCCCGTCTCGTAGTATCTCTTCCAAAAGTTTTCCCACAATTTTCTTCCAATTTAGCAAGAATTCCGGTGTTTTTTCACCTGAAAAGACTCTTTTCCGCCAAAAAAGTCTTCCGACCCCCTAAACTTTTTTAATTCCTCTACGATTCGAGTCGAAATTGACGGAAATTCCGTGTAAATTGGTAATGTGTCTTGGTTTAGCGTAAAATGGAAGGTGGGAGTGCTTTGAGGGCGTCTGATGATATTGTACTAGACCATTAGAATCCGAAAATGGATTTGAATATTTTAAATGAAGAGCAGATGCTTCCGAGCACCTCGAAAGCTTCTTCCGATAAGAAGAAGCGGAAACGCGGAAAGTCCGTGGTCGTTATCCAACGAATCATCATCAATCATGAGGTAAATTCGGGGAAGTTTGGGCGCGAACTGCCGAAAATTTGATTTATGAAAATGAATGACTATATAGCGGTCATAATGATTAAATATTGTGAGTGTGTAAAATATAAGTAAAAGTCTGATTTAATTCATTTTTTATCTGTGTAGGGCGCGATCTGCCAAGTCATATTTAAAAAAATGATAACTACAATTGTAATAAAGCGTATACAATGACGGACCTGATCCAGTGGCAAAAAACGTAACATTTTGCATCAGGAAAGTATCAAAAGATGCAGCAAAATGCCTCCCTCTTCAGGTGAAAAAATTCCGATTTCAAAAGCGCGTCCTTCAAAACGAGATTTTTTCACTTGGGGAGGGAGGTATTTTGCTACATTTTTGATACTTCCCGGATGCAAAATGGTACGTTTTTTGCCACTGGATCAGGTCCCCCACTGTACAGTGTTAGAAGAGTGAAATTACACCTTTTTAACACTCGATTTTAGGTAAATTAGAAGTCTAGGGCGCGAACTGCGCAAAAAATTTTTGGTGATTTTGCCCAATTTTTGATATTATAGCCAATCCTCAGCCTTGAAAAGAGAATCTTACAAATTTGTTGATGCTTATAATTACTTTGCTCTGTATTTTTAGGAGATTGAAACTGCACCATTCCCAACGCCCGTCTCGACCCGTGAAAGCGAGGAAAAAGACATTTCCCAGGGCAGTGACTCACAAAACTTTGTGACGCCCAGAGAAACGCCGGAAAAGAATGTCGAACAATCGAATGTATCCCTGCCCGTTGATCTCAATTTTAATCAGGAAGACGACTTTGTGATTGTCGACAAGTTTGACGAAGAAAATGGCAATTTTTCGACCGAACATGAGCAAAAAATTGATGTTGAACTTGAAAAAAGTGAGGGTTCTGGAAAGAGGAAGGAGTTGAGAGATGAAGCAGAGCCTGAGAAACTCAGAAGAAGCTTGGAAGTCCAGCATGAGCCGATTGGAAAAGCTGAGGAGCAAGATTTCGCCAGGAGTAAGGTCCCGACCAAGTCTAATATCGGAATTAACGCCGTATCGCCGAAATCTGACGCCGCGACTCAAGGAGAAGATGTGTCTAAGCAGACCAGTGAATTTGAGACCATGACTGATAAGAAATTGACCGAAAGCATGGCTACCCAATCAGAATGTGAGAGAAAACCAGCTATGAACACGATGGAAACTTCAACGGACCATAGCTCAACGGAAATTGGCCTCCAAACGGTGGAAGAAAGGCGACAAGAAAGCCAATCCGACACCGGAATCCAAGTCACGGAGAATCTGAATGACATGTTGAATGCGTTGGAGAACTGGCTCGAGGAAGCCGAGGACCTAATGCATAGCCAAAGAGCCCCAAGCGCCGACCCAAAGGTTTTGAGAGCACAACTTCAAAGCCATGATTTGCACATTAAGTTGGTGGATGATAAACAGGAGAGGTAAGGGGGATGGATCGAGGAGATTTAAGGGATTTTTGGGGGATAGGATATTGTAGGAGGTAAAAAAGAGAAATTTTGGAATTTTTTTGTGATGTAGTTGGTTTTGGTAGGGGATTTTAGTCTGAAATGAGGTAGAAATGAATATAGAGGGTTAGAAAGGAGTTTGAGAGATAATTGGGGAAAATTTTGTGATTTTTTGATATCATTTTTGGCAAAAAATGAGGAAGTTTGAATTTTTTTATATTGCACTTTGTTTGAGAGCTTGGATTGGGCTCATAATCTAGCCCAGACCCTGTGAGAGCGATGTGAAAGAATTATAATGATATTGAAGCAAAAATCTCGGGAATTTTTTATATTGCTATAGGCAAAAGACGAAATTTTTAATTTTTTCGATATTGCACTAGATTTTGAAACACAAATTCACTTTATATACCCAGAATAAGGTATCTAGATAATTTCTGAACATATTTTGTATTGATTAGTCCCGTCACACAGCCGCACCTACACCTACGAAAGCCCTCTTTGCTTTGGGAGCCCCCCGAAAAGACCTAATGAGATAAGGGATCTGTCGGACAGTCCGCGAAAATATACCTTAAGCCCAATTGATTTCGCTGCAAGAAAGTCGTATCTAAAGGGAAAGTCAATTTTGGGAATTTAGAGGGAGTTTTTATGTTGTACTAGAGATTAATGGGGATTTTGAGATTTTTTTGGGTTTGGGGGTGGAATTTAGAGCGGTAAAGGTTTGATAGCCCTACAGTATGTTTTAGAGCGCATTTACAACAGATTTAGAACTATTTTTTGGAGAGTAAAATACGCCTTTTAACATTATTGTATAAATTTTAGGGACAGTTTTGATATTTTTACATAATTTTTGCGATTTTCGGGATTTTATTTGAAACTTTTGTACCCGAAAAGTTAGTAAAACACTTGATTGCACAGTACATCCCGTTTTCAATAGATTTTTTTGTCGGAAATTTCATCATCATGACTAATTTTCTACAATTTTTTTTTATTTTTCACGATTTTTTCTTTTTTTAATTTTTGATTTGATGAAACAAAAAAAATTGTTGTCAAAAATACAAGAGGACTGTTTTTTATTCATAATACCATTTTTTCTGAAATTTCACACCAAAATTTTCCAGTATCACCAAGTTCCTTCGGATGGTCGACCAGCAAAACGCCGACCATCTCCGAGAAGTCGCCAATTCAATCGACGCCCGATATTTGTCGCTGATCCGAGGAGTCCACGAAAGACGCCAGAACCTCTCGGACGCACTTTGTCTGGCCGAAGATTTCCATCAATTGGCCGGCCCATTACGGCAATGGGTCGATGAAACAACCAAAAAAATCTCCCAATTGTGCAAAGTGGTGACAACTCCAGAGGAAATTGAGAGAAATCTGATCAAACAAGAGCAGTTACAGGTGAGACAGGGAGTTTGGAGAGTGGGAAAATGAGATTTAAAAAAATTTTTTTGATTTTTGAAATTTTTTTTGGCAAAATTGTAGTTTTTTGATCAAAAAGGGTAAAAGTTGATGGATTAAGAGCCCAGAAGCATTTTTTCGCAACTAAAAAAAAATTAAAAACAGTACAGTGGACCTGATCCAATGGCAAAATATGGTAGATTTTGGGAGTAGAACAGAGAGATTTTTTGATAAATTTCCAATTTCAAAAGCTACATTACAGTGACGGACCTGGTCCAGTGGCAAAAAAACGTACCATTTAGCATCCGGGAAGTATCAAAAAATGTAGCAAAATACCTCCTTCTCCAAATGAAAGCACTCCGTTTTGAAGGGCGCGCTTTTGAAATTGGAGCGTTTTCACTTGGAGAGGGAGGTATTTTGCAACATTTTTTGTTACTTCCCGGATGCAAATGGTACGTTTTTTTGCCTCTGGATCAGGTCCGCCACTGTACTATAGCTTTTGAAATTCGAAATTTATCGAAAAATCTCGAAATTTAAAATCACTTCTTGTATGTTCTACTCCCCAAATCGAGTATATTTCTCCGTTTTCAGGCCGAAATTGATGGAAAACGCGAGCGCTTCGACGAACTCGTCGGTCTTTATGTTGAACTTGGGAAATTCGTTGGGTCTGATGACGAAAACGAACTGGACGCTCAAGTTCGCAACCTCACCACGCACTACGACGCCCTGGGCCAGCGCTGTCTCAACTGCGGATCGGCGTTGCGCAATTTCAGCCAAGACATGTGTAATTTCCTGGCGGATTCCGACGAATTGGCCGAATGGTTGACTCAAGTGGAAGATGAGTTCGAACAAATGGAACAAATGCCACTGGACAGCGAGCAATTGGTCAGAATTAGCGAGGACTTCTCGGTAGGTTTAGAGAGGAAGTCATTTGGGTCAACAGAAGGAAATTTGAGGGGTTTTTGGAGGATTGGGACATTATAGTAGTTAAAAAATGAAATTTTTGGGGATTTCTGGATATTAGACTCGAATTTAATTGTAAATATAGCTTTTTTGAGAAAGCTAGAGACAAATAAAGAAGTTGTCGCAGCATTTCATAGCGTTTTTTAGCTTGAGACATCATTTTTTCAATTGTAATATAGCTAGTCTACTATAATATAAATTTTCGCTTTCAGGAGCTCGCCCAAGCCATCAATGAACGCCAAGCGACCGTCTTGCGCATTGTTGATGAATCCCGCGAACTTTGCGCCCACACTTCTGGCTCGGAAGCGATGCAAATGTCCGCCCGAATCGACCGACTTCAGTCCAGGTACAACGAGCTTTTGAACCAGTCCATGAAACGGATCGACGTCCTCGCCAAAGCCATTCAAATCTCAAACGAACTCACGGAGATGGTGGAACAATCGGAGGAGTTTCTGGACGAATGCGACGACGCGTTCTACCTTTTGGACGAGGTTTCCGTCGACGAGCAGATCGAGACCCTGGTCGAGCTGGAGAAGATGCTCGAAAACAACGCCGAGTTGGTGCAGGAGGTCGAAAAAGTCTCCATGGAGTTAAGATCGTTGACTAAAGGAGCCGACGAGGTCGAATTGATCAAGCGCTCGGACGAATTGAGGGAACGATTCGCGGCCGTCAGAGCTCTAATCGACGAGAGATTGCGTCGAATTCAGAACGCCGACCAAGCCCAACGCGAAACCTTTAGCGCCGTCGACTATTGGCTGGAATTCTTTGAGGATTCGCTGGCGCAAATTGTCGATTCCGAGCAACCACCCGCCGACCTGGACCAGCTGAAGGAGCTGTGTCTAGAACAACGTGCCCTCAACGAGAGAGTCGCCTCAGAACGCGCCGGGGTCCGCGATTTGATCGCGGAAGCCCAACGTGTCACGAGAGACGAGAATCTAAGCCTGGGACTCGAAAACAACCAGATCAACGCCAAAATTGATCGACTCAGACGACTCGTGGAGGAGGCCGCCAAGGCCGGAGCGGAAAGGCTTGCAATCCTAGAACAAACCGCTGAACTCTGCAAGGAATTGGTCCCGGAATACGAGCAAATCAATGAGGAACTGGAGCGCCTGGAGACCGAGTTCCAAAACTGCACCGAAATCAACACAGCCATGCCGCAAAACGAGCTCCGACAACAGCAAATCCACAACAACCAAATGCTTCAGACCCTGCAGAATGAGCGCAAAAATCTCTCGAAATTCGAACGAAATATCGACTCGGTTTCGGAGCTGTGCAACCCACAAGACGCCGCACATCTTCGACATTTGTGCGATCAACTCTTGGACAGACATAAGGAAGTTTCAGAGGCATTCCGATCAAGAGGCGCAGCTCTCGACTTGACCGTGGAAAAGTCCGCCGATCTCGGCGACAGAATCGACACCTTCCTCATGAGCATGGAGAATGCGTTGACGATCCTCAGGAACCCCGATTCAATTGCGGCCAGACCGAATGTACTGCGGAGACAGATCGAAGACAACATTAACAGTCATGTGTCGTGGAAACAGAAAGAACCAATCATGCTGGCGATTAGAGCAGCCACAATCGAAGCACTAGCACGAAGTCAGGGAAATCACATCGTGGAGGAAGGTATGAGAGAGGTTTTACATGGTTTTGGAGGAGATAAGGGGGTCTATGGGAGTTTTATATTACACATGGTGAAGGTCATGGATGATTTAAAAATTTTAATGTTAATGGAATGCAAGTTCGGGAAATCATAGATAATTATTGTACATATGACAAAAGCGTCATTTAAAGAGCTTTTGAGGAGCACAGGAGGAAAGATAGGTCGAAATTTTATATTATTCATGACCTGCATCATGGATAATATAAAATTTTGATCTTAAACGCCACAAAATCGGCGGATTTATAGATCGTCTGATAGAAGAACAAACTAGCTTCATTTTGACATGTTGTGGAGAGTATACCATTCAGTTTCAACCAAAATTTTATATTATCCATGACCACATTCAAGTATAATATAAAATTGTGGGGTTTGACTCAAAAACCAGGTAAATATACGTATTTTTAGGCTTATCCCGAAAGCTCCAAGCCCTGGACGAGTATTGGTTCGAACTTCACAACGTTCACGGCAGTCGCGACCTCGTTTTGTGCGAAACTTTACCAATCGCCGAGACTTTCTGGCAGTCGGCGCAAAACTGCCAACAACTCTTCAAAAAACAACGAGCAGACCTTGTTACCTTCAACGAATCTGGTCTATATTCATCAACGTTGGATTTGCGGAATCAATTCGCCCGCCAGGTTCAACAGGGACTGCAGGCGGCGGAGCTTCAGTTTGCTCAAGTTCACACCTACGCTCAAGAATTGCTGAGCCGAGTTGGCGACGAAGAGAAGTCATTCGTCGAGCAGCAACTGTTCACATTGAACAATGAGTGGCAATGGCTCAAAAACACCAGCGGCGAACGACAAACCCGGATGGGAACCGCGCAGGATGTGGTAAGGATGTTGTAGTAGATAAAAGAAAAAATGTGGAAAAAACAAATAAAATAGGGGAAAATAGAAGATTTCTGCTGATGCAGAAGATGTAACAAGAATGATTATGCAATATTCTGGCAGTTGGAAGAAAAATTTGGCAAAAAATTAGGTCTCGAATATTGTACTAGGCAAAAGTGGAAAAATCAAAGAAATTTTGATGAAAGATCCTGAAAATTGAGGGTTTATAGCATGGAAAAGGTGCAATAAACAATAAAGCATTATTTTCAATCAATTAGAATGTAGAAAAATGTCTAAAATACCTAAAAACATCAAAATTTCTCAAGGATAATATCGAAAATTGATGGAAATTGAAGAAATCAAATGAAAAGGTTGAATGTTGGTCAAAACTTTGACTGAACACCTCATGCTACACCTTGAAAATAATTTTTGACATCAAAAACTCGGTATCACAAACAATTTTTTGTAAAATTCAGTAATCGCGACGGATTTTTTGGAACCCCCAAAAATATTTTTTGGACAAAAAGTTGTTCACAATTTTTTCGTATCGGTCGCTCAAGCCCTCTTATATTGTCGAGTAGATCGAAACGAATGCCCAAATTCCTAAAATTATTTTCTTGTGTGACACCAGCAAGAAAAGCGGGATTTCTCGTCCATAGCGTCCGAAAAATCCCGTTACCAGAGAGCTTGGTAAAGGTAAAATTATGTGGTTTTTAGTATGTTTGATAGAGGAGACTTTGTTCTTTCTGTCGGTAGATGTTCCCCCCCCCAAAAAAATTAATATTTTTGGGTTTTTTTGGAGTTTTTTGGTTTAGGACTAATGCTTGCCTAAAATAAGGTCGGGAATGCCGAAAAAGAAGGTTATTACCTCAAATTGTTGCGTGAAAAATGGTTATTATGTGATTTCAGTCTCAACAATTTTATCAGCAATCGGATGCAATCCGAAGATGGCTCTCCCACGCCGAAAATCAGCTCCAGAACATCCCGGAACAACTCCCATCGACCGGAGAGGCAATCCGCAACGAAATGGATAGGCTGAAGGTGTTGAGAAACGAAGCCAACGACCAAAAGATTTGCATGAATGAATTGGTCCAATTAGCGAGGGATCTGTGCACTTATGCGCAACCGCAACAGGCAAGTATAATATAATTTTTGTTGAATTTTGTTGGATTTTAGGCTTTTATCGAGCAAATGAGGCTTACTGTTCCGTATTTTAGGCTCAAAAGATCACGGATCAGATCAGCCAGCTTGACCTGAGGTTCAATAGGATCTACGCACTCCTTGCAAATCATCAAAGAAGATTCGAGCAAGCGTTGTTATCCGGCGGAAACTTTGATCAGCTCTTCGACGAGCTCTCAATTTGGCTAAAGGATGCGCAAAGGACCTTCGAAGCCATCGATGCAAATGTGGAGGAGCCGAAGAGAATTGAAGTGGAATTGACCAAAATAAGCGCATTGAGGAAGGATATCGCCGCGCATGTCCCAAGTTTTGATGAATTGGAGAAGTAGGTGGAGTGATTGAACAATGAAACTGATTTTGGAGGAGTTTTGGAAAAAATTTTATATTGTGGTAGTCAAAATGTGAATTTTGATGATTTCTTCCAGTTTTTGGATATTTTTTTGGCGTCTTTTGGTTTTTTAAGATGCCAAATGGTTTTTTCGGCGATTTACTTTTTGGTTTTGATGTTTTAAGATGAAAATTATATTGTAGTAAGTAAAATTTGGGATTTTTTGAAAATTTTTTAAAATTTTTTGTGGTTTTAGGTCCGGAAATGAACTCATCCATGCTGATCCTAACGCCCTGATCACCATTCAACCAAAACTTGATCCCCTTATGGCCAAATGGAACCGTCTCAGCGCCAAATCCGAAGAGGCCCTCAAAAAATTGGAGGACGCGAAAAATGACGCCAATTCCCGAAGATCCCGGTTTGACAAGTGGAGAATGTACCTGGAAGATCTGGCTCAACAAGCCCAACTCGCCAAGCCAGTCGGAGCACTCGTTGAGACGGTACAAAGTCAGCTGAACGACCTGCGAAATTTGGCTCAAGATTTGAATGAAAAGGAGAACGTTTTCAAGCGAGAACTCAACGATGCGGTCGCTAAAAAGGCCGAGCCTTTGGAGACATTAACGCAATTGGATGGAGAATACAGTGGATTGCAGGAGAAGCTGATTGCGCGACAGACTCAGCTGGAAAAAGCGCTGGAACAAGCGGTACAGCTCGAAAATCAACTGGAAAACCTAAATAAGTGGAGTTCGAGTGCTGAAAAAGCGTTGGCAAATCAGCCGTTGTTCTCGAGACGCCCGGACAAGCTGGAAAAAGCTTTGGAGGAACAGAAGGCATTTGTGGAAGAGGTTGCGGAACAAAAATTGAAGCTCAAAGATCTGACGCAAGCTTCAACCAAGGTCCAGTTTAAATGCGATAAAAAAGATGGAATTTATGTGAAGAATCAAGTGGTTACGTTGAAGAATAAGATTGAGAAGATATCACAGAATGCAAATGAACGGGCGAAGGGTAAGGAGTTGAGAGATTTGGGGGTTAAGGGGATAAATTTTGATTTGGAGGTCTGGTAGGCAAGGAGAATATAATTTTGGTCGAAGGTTGGGGATTTTGGATGTAAAATGAAGTGGGTTTTATAGAGTGGGCTAGAATCTGTGGTTGCGAAGGTGATCTGGCTATTTATAAAGGTGATATAATAGAGATTTGACCTTTTATTTTGTTGCTATGGATGATATAATTTTTATCGAAAATGAGAAAAGTTTGATCTGAAATGTGTTTTAATCGATAGATTGAGTTATAGTATAGAGTTTAAAAGCGTTTTTGAGAAGTAAGAAGTTTCAAAAAACATGAATTTTGAACTCTTTTTTGTCATGGAGAACATAATTTTTGTTCAAAAATTGAGTTTTTGGGGCTGAAATTGTTTCAAATAGAGTTTTTTTTTTGTAGGATAGAAGGATTAAACAGGTTTTGGTAAAGAATCCATCGGTAAATTATGTTATCCATGACAAAAAATTGGTCATTCATAACATAAATTTTGCAAATTTTTTTTAGGTTTTGATAAATTGGGCACTTTTAGGTCGTTAAAGATTTATTACTGATGAATATTATCATTTTTAGGCATGGAAACGGCCTTGGCCGAGACGCAGAGCTACCTAACTGATGCCCAATCTCTCTCCGATTGGATCCACGCCGAAGGCCAACGCCTCACCAACGATCCAATCGAAGCCACCGCCGACCGAATCCGACTCCAAGTTGAGCAGCATCGCCAGTTCACGGAAGAAATCAAGGCCCGTCAAGAGACCTTGGACATTATCCATGGCGCTGGCCAAGTCTTGTCCGAAAGAGCCCCCAAAGAAGACAAAAAATGGTTCAATCAACAGAACGCGAACCTAAAACAAGCCTGGACTGGACTGAATCAGCTAGCCAACCGAAGAAATAAGGAGCTGGAGGAGAGTTTGGCCGCCTCAGGGCAATTTGAAGACGGCCTGGCCAAATTGGTCGACTGGCTGGACGAAAACTTGCCGGGAATCGAAAAAGAATTGGACGAAAACAGATTTGGAGGCGACATGGAGACTCTGCATAGGCTGGTCATGGAGAATAAGGAGCTAGAAACTCAGTTGGAGCAGAAAAGAAAACCACTGGAGATAGTAAGGAGAAGGTCGATGGAAATCCTCGCTGAAGCTGATACCGAGGAAGCAAACAAGGTGAAAGAGAAAATAGATGAATTGGAGAGCAAATGGGACAAGCTGGAAGCAGCTCTGAAGGAGAAGGTAGGAATTATAAGGAGTTTTGGATATTGTTTTAGGTTAGAGGGCAGGAAGAAAAAAAAATATTTTTTTGTGTGAAAGTGGATGAAGATGAGAGGGTTTTGGGGTTAGAGGTGAAGAAAATGAAAGAATAATTGTGATTGGGAGGGTATTTTTGGGTTGGAGACATTGATTTTTTGGTTTGGAGGGAAATTTATGTTGTAGTAGGTGAGGCGGAAAAAACGGAAAATTTTCGATGAAATTCTTTGAGTTTTTGATTGGAAATGGTTGAAAAAGGAAGATTATGAGTTGAGAAAAAGAATTGGATGATGGAAAAAAAGTTGGGGCGTTTTTTTGACATTAATTTATATTGTTGTAGGCAAAATTGGAAATTTTTTTGTTTTTTGTGGAATTTTGACGCGGTTTTTGTTGGAAGTTGATGGAAAAGGAGACTAAGTGACTTTTCAGACATTTTTTAAAAATTTTGTGAGGATTAGCATTTTTTGAAAACATAAATTTTGAGATTTTTTGCTAATTTTTTGCATTTTTTCAGGAAAAACGTCTCAACTCCGGCCTGGAAGAAGCTGTCGACCTCTCCGAGTCGGCACGAGAACTGAACGAAGCCCTCACTGAAATCGAATCCCGAATCCGCCGCGAGACCAGCCAGACAACGGACGATGAAGAGAATTCGAGATTGGCTCTGGAGCATCTCGAAAAAATCAAATCGGACATGGAGAACGAAGCCGAGCTCTACAACAAAGTTCAAGGCCTCATCCAGACGATTCAACCCGTTGCCCACCCAAAGGCTCAAGAGAATTTGCAATTTTTGGCGGCGCAGGCCGGCGAACGATGGGATCAGGTGGCTGGTTTGCTGGAAGAACGCCTCAAACACGCCGAAGAGCACTTTGGAATCCTCAAAGAACACGATCAAGCCCTCGAAAAGTACAGCAGATTCGCGGAGAATGCGGAGAAACTCCTGGCGGAGACACAAAATGCCTCGGGGCACGCGGAAAATCTCGAGGAAATCGTGGAATTGATCATGAAACATGATGAGTTCAAACGAGCCCTCAGGGAAGAGCAGCCGAAAATCGAAAAGGTCGTGGAAGTGGGCCAAGGCACGCAGAAAATGTCGAGCGAAGTGAAGCCACCACCGAAGCGGATTCAACAGCGATTCGCGCGAAGCGGCGGAGCCAAGAGATTGCTCAGCTCCGGAGAGAAAAAGAAGTGAGTTGGAGAGGACTTGAAGAACAGAGAGGAGGATTTTTCGGATTTTCGAGAGAATAGAGAGTATCTCTCAATCCCTTCTATAGAGTATAGAAGGGATTGAGAGAAAGTTTCGACAGGCTTGAGGAGGATTTTTCGGATTTTTGAGAGGTTTTTTATATTGTAGTAGGTGAAAGTTGAGGGTTTTGAAAATTTTGAGGATTTTCTCCAATTTTTTTGGTTTGAAATGGCTGAAATAAAAATATTATGGGTTTTTTGGGTCTTAGAGATGGGCTTGGCGATTTTTTCGACCATTTTTTATATTATACTAGGTGAAATAGATGATTTCAAAAAAAATTTTTGTCAATTTTTTGGTGTAAACTGACGTTTAAAGGTTGAAATACGAAGTGTAAGGGCAATTTAAAATATTTTGGGCCATTTTAAAAGGTTTTTTGGAGTCGATTTTGTATTATACTTGGTAAAAAATTTTTGACTTTTTGACGATTTTTGGGTATTTTTTGTTTGAAATGGTAGGAATTGATGTAAAAATGAAGAATTAGACATTTACAGATATTTTTGGAGCGATTTTTTGCTCGAATTTTTACGATTTTTCGAAAATTTTATTATTTTTTTTTTATTTTCAGCCCCAGAACCAAGCGCCAACGCCGCACCGACCAACTGGAACAGCGATGGCAGAACGTGTGGAACAACGCCATCGAGCTGGAAGAGGAACTCAAGGCGCGCCGAGCCCGCATCGAAGAGCTCCAACGACTGGAAGGCTTCACCTTTGCCGATTGGAGGGACCGTTACATCAAATGGATGGACACCACGAAGGCAAGACACTCTGATCTGTTCAGACAGATTGACAAAACTGGGCAGGGCCAGGTGCCCAGAGAGGAATTCATTGAAGGAGTTTTGAAGTCGAGGTTCCCAACTACAAGATTGGAGATGGAGAAGGTGGCGGATCAGTTCGATCGCGACGGAATGATATCGTCCAGAGAATTTGCGAACTCTCTGAGATATGTGGACACGAAAAAGGTGAGTTGAAGGGGGTTTGGGCGGTTTTTGAGAGATTTTTTATATTCACCATGAGAAAAATTTAAATTTTTTTCGGTTTTTGGGGTAATGAGCTAAGGAATGGATGTTAGAGTGTTTTTAGGACAGATTGGAGGAGATGGCGCCTTTAAATTGAGGTTAGAAGCAATTTTGGGAACTTTTTTGATATTAATTTATATTATTCATGGGGATTTTTTGGTACTTCTTTTTTGAATTTTTTATGGCAAAAATAATTTTTTATATGTTTAGCACCGTCTGCCCGCTGTTCCCGGCCCTTCTGCCACTCCCAGACGTCAAATTCCAGTCCCGTTAAGGAAGTCCCCAACCCAGATCAAGGTGGACAAGGAGAAGATTGCAACCGAGATCAAAAAAGAAAGCCAAATGTGCAAATGCAACGACCACTTCAAGGTATGAAATTTTGACAATTTTTTGGGAGTATCTTTGAACAAAAAAAAATTCAAAAAAATTCTCAAAAAAATTAAAAAATTCTTTTTTCAACAGGCCAATAAAACAATATAAAACCAACAAAAAACAAGTTTGACCACTTCCCAATATCATTTCTACTTCAAATTACACAAAAAACTTGCAAAAAGAGCGATTAGCAGCGAGTGGTTTCGATCCACCGACCTCTGGGTTATGGGCCCAGCACGCTTCCACTGCGCCACGCTGCTACGGTCTCGATCCGGAGTAATTCTGATCACACAGGAGGATTGGAGGGCTTAGAGTAGTCGAAAAACCATATTATAATCAAAAGAAAATCCAAATAACGTTTAAATTAAAATTTATCAGCACAACATTAAACAACAATGAAAATGAATATGTAAATAATAACTATTAAAACCGGCATTTTGAATAAAAGAGATCAAATAAATATAAAAGTAGATTAAATATTAATAACATCGATTTCTTCATCTTCTTCCTGCTCTTCTTCATAGCGCTCCTCCAAATATTCTTCTTCCTGCTCTTCTTCAATCCACTGACCTTCTTCTTCTTCTTCTTCTCCAATCTCCTCTTCTTCCAAATATTCTTCTTCCTCTTCCAGCTCCCGATCTTCTTGATCTTCTTCTTCAAATTCCTCTTCTTCCAAGCATTCTTCTTCCTCTTCTTCTACCAACTGACCTTCTTCTTCTTCTTCTTCTTCCTCAAACTCTTCTTCATCCAAATCTACTTCTGCCCATTCTTCTTCCACATCCAATTCATGACCATCTTCATCATCTTCCCCATACAGCTCGTCGTACAGACTACTGTAGTAGTCTGCTTCCTCGTCGGCCTCATATTGCAACCTCTTCATCGTCTTCTGTTCTTCCATTTCTCTGAGCAGTTCCTGAAAAAAGAAATTGTCAGCAAATAATAAATGGGTTTAAACTGGTCATTTATAAGCTAAAGCAACAATAAAATGTTATTGCAAATTATTTTTGAGATCAAAAAAAATAAGAATTTGGTATTTTTTCATGTTTTAACAGCGCTTAAAGAGTCCAAGTTTTCGGAAGAATATGAAAAAATCCAACAAAAAGTATCCCTAGAAATTCAAAATTAGATCAAAAATCCCACTAAAAGTATCCAAAAGTATCACGAAAATTCAAACGAATCCCAAAAATTCCACAAGAAGTATCCAAAAGTATCCAAAACCCCTCGAAATCAATTCAAAATTACTCACCTGTATTCTCAAGTCTTCTTTTTCTGGATCCTCATATGTGTGATCATAGAAGTAATCACAAATTGATCTGCCGAATGCAGTGAAGTCCTCGTCTTCCTCCTCATCCTCCTCCAATATCCTGGCCAGCTCCTCGCGCTTCTGCTTCTCTTCTTCGATCTCCTTAAGGTAGTCGAAGCGTCTCTTCTTGATGGCCTCCAAAAGATCTTCATCTGCCTTTCGCTTTTGTCCCCTAAGGGCAACAACGTTGGCAGAGCTTGGTGAAGACATTTTTTGAGGGGAAGTTGCTGAAAAATAAAAGTTAAAAATGAAAAAAACTGGTAAGATTATACTGTTTGGATTAATTTAATCACGATGTAAATAAAGAAAGATAAGGAAGAAGCAATTGGGAAACAAAAACTTTTTGTTTTATAAAAAAAAATAAAATAAAAAAATTAGCTCGCGCCCAAAAAATCCATGGTAAAACCACCCTTCCGACCACTGCATCCTATCATAAATGAGGTTACTTTCCCCGAGACATCCTGCTAGCCTTGCGCAGAAAGTTTTCGCCACGGTAATTTCTGCGCTAGCAGAAAATTTGAAGCCAATTGCGCAAGCGATAGATATCTTTGATTTTGGAATAACAGAAAAAATTTTAAAAAAAATTGTTATGGTTTTAATGCAGAGTTTTTTTTTACGAATTAGACTTACCTCCAGGAAATTCTTGCATCACCGAATTGAATTAAATTTGTCTCATATTTAATCTTTAAAATGCTGATCTGGGTCCTTGACTAGCCATTTGGGCCTTTAAAATGCTGATCCAATCTTTTTGGCTCGCCATTTGAGCCCATTAAAATTCAAAAAATTAATTTTTAAAAACACTGCATAAGAAAAAAATGTAAAGATCAAGAAAAATGAACATAATTTTCGAAATCAGCACCCTCAAAAACCTCGAAATGAAGTGCTTTCAAAAAAAATTCAAAAAATTACTAGTTTAAAGAGCTACTTTTCTGAATCTATGGAGATGTGATTATCGTAGGGCTATGATTGGAATTATTCCGCTTTGAGGCCGCAGCAGCGTGGCGCAGTGGAAGCGTGCTGGGCCCATAACCCAGAGGTCGGTGGATCGAAACCACTCGCTGCTAATCGCTCTTTTTGCATGTTTTTGGGTAAAATTGAAGTGGAAACGGTATTGGGAAGTGGTTAAATTTGTTTTTTATGGGTTGTATATTATTTTAGAGGCCTGTTGAAATGGAGATTTTTTATTTTTTAAGAATTTTTTTTTGAAATTTTTTGATTTTTGTGCGAATTGGGGTAAAGGGGTATTGTAAAGGGGCCATGAATATTTTTTGGAAGTTTTAAGAGGTGTTTTATATGTCATTTGGGGGTGGATGTGTGAAAAAAATTAGGGTTTTTTTCTTATTTTTTGTATTTTTCTAATTTTTTCGGTTTTCAGATTGCGGCGGAGCGCGAGACCAAAGGCGGTGCCGTGAAGTACGCGTTCGGCGACTCCCAAATGAAGCGCATGGTCCGCATCCTGCATTCGACGGTGATGGTGCGAGTTGGCGGCGGCTGGGAAGAGTTGTCCAGCTTCCTGCGAACACATGACCCATGCCGCGCGAAGGGCCGCACCAACATCGAGCTGAACCACGGCCACGAGTTTGTAATGCCGTCGGTGAAGCCGGTGGGCGCCAACGATGTGATGGGCACGTTCGGGTCGCGGAAAAGCTCGTACGCGCCGAGCAGCGGGCGCTCCACCCCAAGGAAGATGGTGAAGTATAATGTGGAGGAGAATGTGAATCAAGGACCGGTTATAAAGGTAGATTTTTTTTAATTTTTGGGGGTTATGGGGTAAGAGGGGAGTAGGGAAAGTTTTTGGGGAGTTGATTTTGAAAAAAATTTTTTTAATTTTTTTTTTTTTTTTTTTTTTTTTTTTTTTTTGATTTTTCTGAACATTGCCGGAAGTAAAGAACGTGATTTTCTAAGAGCTCTGGGAAATTTTTAGCTCGCGTTCTGCAAAATACACCGACATTTTTAGATATGAAATTTAAAAAATTTCAAATTTTTTCTCAAATGTGAACCGATTATAAAGGTAAAAATATAAATTTTGTGGGGGTTTTGGAGCAAGAGGGGAGTGGGGAAATTTCGGGGAATTGATTTTGAAAAAAAAATTTGTTTATTTTTTTATTTTTTTTATTTTTTTTTTTTTGAAAATTGCCGGAAATAAAGAATATGATTTTCTAAGAGCTCTGGGAAAATTTTACTTACGCTTTGCAAAATCCACCGAGATTTTTAGGTATCAAATTTTTAAAATTTCAAAATTTTCTTCATTTTTGCTCTAAACCCCTCTAAATCGAGGTGAAATTCAATTTGAAATTTGGTGATTTGCAGAATAGATAGGAGGTTTCGAGATTTTATCGAAAGGATTAGCGAAAATCGGTCTGATTTTTTATTCAAAATTGATTTGAATTTAATTCGAGATGTTGCAGGTCAGAGAAAAGACGGAGAGAAGTGTACCGATGTTCAAGAAACCGCTGACCCCGAACTCCTCAGCCAATTCCAGTCGAAGTTATTCGAGACAGGCTAGTGATCTCAGTGCCAAAGGTAAATTTTGGACTTTTTTTGGTGATTTGAAGGGAAATGTGGGGAATTAGGATGTGATTTGGAGGTGGGATGATAAATTGGGGCTTGATTTTACTATAGGTATGTAGCTTTACAGTCTGAAAGTAGATTTTTTGAGATTTTTTGACGTTTTTATATTGTTTTAGAGGTGGAACCGAAAAATTTTGATTTTTGAAGGTAAAATAAGGTGGTATATAGGGAAGAATTGGTTTAGAATGGTAGAAGATATATTTTGGTTTACTGAGGAGTGATTTTTTTGAGGGAAAGTTTTGAATTTTTAAGATTTTTTGGAATTTTTTCCACCTGATGTCTAAAGTAATATAAATTGATGAAAATACAAGCTTTTTTGTTAGGGAAGCTGATGTTTTTGGTTTTTTTGAGTCGGAAATATTATGATTCGAAACTTTTTGTGGTTCTTTTGTAATGGCGATACCCATTTTGACCTTATTTTTTCATTTTCAGACGGCTCAAACACCAGAATTCCCCGGCCACTTTCGTATCAAAACCTGGCTCAAACCCCGTCCAGACCCTCGAGCAGAGCCAGCGATGTCTCGGATTTAAGCGCTACCCCCTCAAGACTACCCACATCCAGAAGAACCCCAGTTTCGTCGAGGCCACAGTCCAGGAACGCCTAAAATAATATAATTTATTGTAAAACCCTAAAGTTTTTTGTAAACCCCTGTCTAATTTGGTCCCACATACATCCTACAGCAAAATTGAAAATGTTTTAATAAGCCCTCAGGGTACTGTAACATTTTTTTGCTAAGATTTTTTCTGTTTGGCTAAGCACTGTCTCCGAAAACGGTTAAACCCCCATAATTTTTTTCAAATTCCCCCAAAAAGGAAGTCTATATTGTATTGTTTGTCCATATCACTTATCAATCCGAAGTCGTCAGCTCAAAACATTCAAAAAACATAATTTTATATTGTTTTAGCTCTTTCCCCACAAACGAATGCCAGTAATTCTTATTTTTCTGTATCGGTACTTTGCAATTTTATATTGAATATACGATAAATTTATTTTGGAAGAGATTGGTTGTTCAATTGAAGGTTAGTTGTAAGATTTTCGAGGTATTTTTTGAGATTTGATGTCATGGATAATATAATTTTTATTGAGTTTTTGACTGAAAATTTTTTTAATAGACAGTAACTGGGGTGGTAAGGGAGATGGTAAAAAATTTCGGAGGAAATTTTAAGTTTTTCCATGTTTTTGAGCGATTTTTGACATTTGATGTCATGGATAATATAATTTTTATCGAATTTGTGGCTAAAAATTTTTAAATAGACAATAAGTGGGTTGGTAATGAGATTGTTAACTGAATTTGAACAAATTTTCATTTTTCCTTGATGTTTGGGGAACTTTTTTTCATCTGATATCATGGATAATATAAATTCCCCCAATTTTAGCCTCAAATTAACCAGAAACCCAAAGAAATGGCCCTCCGAATACGTAATCCCTCTCACCTTGCCCATTAGAATACATTATCCGCGAATTTTCGCCCACCCTTCGAATCTCTCAACTTCTCCTTGGCAACGCACCGTGCGGCCGGCTCTCGCCGCAATTAGGAGCGAAAACCAAAGGGGAACGGATGAATGGCCGAACTCAAGGTGCTCTTCGAGGTGTAAAGGGTCAGGTCCGAGAGGAATATCAAGTTTGTTTTAGGGGATTTTGGGATTTTTTGCAGAAAAATGTTGTTTTAGGCATGAATTTTGATGTTTTTGGATTTTTGGAAGTGTGGATGAAGAAAGTTCCTGGATTTTTTGATGTTTTATGAAAGAAAACGCCTTATTTTACCTAGAAAATTTAATTTGGGCATGTTAAAGGGTAGTTTTGTGAGGTTCTGATATTATTTTAGACACCTGATAAAGTAGTTTGGAAAACCTCAGTTTTTGAGCTTTTTTCGAGGAGAAAACGCATAGATTTTCAGAATTATTCTCCTATATGATGTTTAGAACAAAGTTCGAGAGTTGTGCCGCTAAACGGCACTAAAAATTATATTACTTTAGACATCGGATCAAAAAATTTCGAAAAATCTCAATTTTGCTGCTTTTTTCTGCGGGAAATTGCATTTATATTGAATATCAACGCCCATTCTATCGTGCGAGATTGAATTGCCTTCTAAAATCGTCAAAAATTATATTACACTAGACATCAAGTGGGAAAAAATCTAAAAAATTTGTGTTTTAAAGCTAATATCAGGGTTGAATTAAATTCACAACGCCATTTTCCAGCCGTATTTTATAGAAAACACTTCAATTTCCCTCAATTTTCGCCGAAAATTATCGAAATTGACCTTTGCAGGAAATTCGAAGATTTCCTCGACCGGAATTCCTTTTATTCTCCCCTGGAGGGCCTCGAAGAACATTTCGAGAACACAAACGGCCATTTTCGGGAACGGAATTTCGCAAACGGGCACCTTTTATTTACAAAAAAGAACTTTTGCCCTCCGTGCTTGGAGATGGCTGGTAGAAAAATTGGGCGAAAAATTGTCGAATTTTTGGATTTTTTAGGATTTTTTCTCTCTCAGCCAGATTGGTCTTTTGGTCTAGTTTAATTTAGAATACTCGAAGCTGGGAAATGATCGGGATTTGAACGATTTTTGAGTAAAAGTGGAAATTTTGCCATGAATAATATAAAAAATGTATGGATTTTATATGGAACGTCACAAAGTTTGGGCGTATTTTACATTTTAATGCTTGGAATTGACTAAATTCGTCATTTATAAGCGTTTTACAGCATTTTAGAGACTTGAAACAGAATGCCAAAAATGGCGGGAAATTTGAATTTTTGAATTTTTATTTAACTTTTGAGCTCCCAAGGTTATGAGAACGATAGAACAAGTTGTTTTTTATTAATTTTTATTGCGAAAACCCCAAATTTTTTTCATTTTTTTACATCAATCATACCTAAAGTAATATCGAATATTTTCTCCATTTTTTCTCAAAAAATGTCTAAAATTTTGAATAAATTAGAGCAATTCTAACCTGAGAGTACATTATCCATGGTTCTTTCAGACCATTCAGGCGGAGAAACAATTGTTTTGGCACTTTTTTTAACCAATGATGACGTAAAGGGCCAGTGTTTTGAATAAATCTTGTCGTCTGGCCCTCGAAGATGACTCTCATGGAGCAACAAGTGCAGGTGAGTCCTTTGTGGAGCATAGCGGTTGTCAGAGACATGTTTTTCTATAAATACGTTCCAAATTTTTTGGGCTTTATCTTGTTTTAGCAGTTTTTTCGCTTATCTTGAGAAAATTTTCGGATTTTTTGAAAGATTACAGTAACCCAATCCAGCCAAATTGCTTGATAAGGCATAATAAGGCCCTGGATTTTTGATAGACAAGTTTTTTTCCTGCAAACGTCGATATTTGCCGTATTTTACCTTATTTTAGTCATTTTTATCTTGTTTTGGCCAAATTTTGCCATTTTCTTGAAAATTACAGTAATCTAAAGGTTCAAAATGATGGATTACAGAAGCTCAGGGTATTATCTCTCTTTCGGATATAGAATTTGTAGAGAAAAATTTATTTTTGACATACATTTACCTTATTCTAGCCATTTTTCGACTGGTTTTGGTGAAAAATCTTAATTTTTGGTTAAATTACAGTAATCCAAGGCTCTAAAAGCGTCCAGAAAGCAATTTAGGGACGTCATATATCCGATAGATCTATTTTCAACCCAAAAAATGTCAGTTTTGACACAGATTTACATTATTTTAGACATGTTTCGGCTTATTTTAGTGAAAAATCTTAATTTTTGGTCAAATTACAGTAATCCAATGCTTTAAAATTGTCCACAAAGCAATTTTGGGGCGTTGTATATCCGATAGATTCATTTGCAGCAGAATAAATCTCAGTTTTTGAGCAGTTTTAAGCATAAGTCACCTTACTTTAGCCCTTTAAACCACGTCTTGTTCTATGGCCCCGCGGCGCCGTCCTCTTCTCCACAAATCTTCACGGACTTGGCGCCGGCAACGTACCATCAGACAGTGTCCTGCTGGCCCTGCGATTCGTCATCTATCACTTCCACCATCAGCGAAATCGCCTCGTAACTTACGGGGATTGGCTGCGAATCGCGGCGCTGAAAATAAATTTGAGCCGCGAATGCGCGTTTCTGCTGTTCGCCGAGGCGCAGACCATTAGTCCCGTCCATCGCGAGCGCCGAATCGCCTCCAACACGTCGGACAGCGATCTGGAGAGCCGCGCCGACGTCCTCGGATTGGTGGTCGCGCTGGCGTTGTTGGGCTGCGCACCGGATGAAAATGGCAACAGGAACGTGGCGAAATACATAAAAGACAATTTGAGTAAGCAACAAGCCTTTGGGTATTTGATTTTCGGGTTTAGACCAAGATTAAGGGACTTGGGATATTATCCATGAGGAAATTGATGATTTGCTTGGATTTTTGAGGAGTTTTTGGAAGGCTTTTGGTGTGGAAAGACCTTGTAGAGGTCTGTAGTTTTCATTGAGACCCCTTTTTCCAGAATTTTCACTAAAAATTATATTATCCATGACGAAAATTGATGATTTTTTTGAATTCTTTAGGGGTTTTTGGAGGGTTTTTTGGTGTGAAAGGATCTTGTAAAGGTCTGTAGTTTCGAGTGGCACCTTTTTTTCAAGAATTTTCACCAAAAATTATATTATCCATGACAAAAATTGATGATTTTCTTGGACTTTTTGAGGGGTTTTTGGAAGGTTTTTGGTGTGAAAGGATCTTGTAAAGGTCTGTAGACTCGATTGACACCCCTTTTTCCAGAATTGTCACTAAAAATTATATTATCCATGACAAAAATTGATGATTTTTTAAAAATTTCTTGGGTTTTTTGGAAGGTTTTTGGTGTGAAAGGATCTTGTAAAGGTCTGTAGTTTTGATTGGCATCTAGTTTTCGAGAATTCTGACCAAAAATTATATTATCCATGGCAAAAATTGCTGATTTTTTTGAATTTTTGAGGGGTTTTCGGAAGGTTTTTGATGTGAAGGAGCTTTTTAGAGGTCTGTAGTTTCGATTAACGTATTTTACCCGTTCCCAACCAAAAATTATATTCACCATGGTTTCAGATGTGTTCCTCAGCTGCCTGCTCCTTTGCAACTACGCGCTGGCCTCCGAAAACATCACCAGCTCGAGGCTGGAGCAGATCCCACGTCTGGACTTGATTCCGGCCACCGCGCTCAGCAATTTGGACGTGCTTTTCGAGGGCACACTGCGGACGGAGAAGCAGATGAGCACCGTCGGCGTGATCCCGACCTCGATTAGTGCTTTGCTCATGGCCGTAATGCACTGGGAATTGAAGGATCAGGTGGGAAATTGAAGATCTTGGGGGATTTTTGCAATGCCAAGACGAATTCGGGAATCGGAGGTTTTCGTGGTGGGGCCCAAAAATTGTGGAAAAGATTTAATTTTGGGCTCTGGAAGAGAAATATTCTTGTTTAGAGCTTGAAAAAGCTTGTGAAGGGAGTTTCTAAACCCAATGAACAAGATTTTACGCAATGCCAAAGATCAGGCGTTCGTGGTGGGACCTAAAAATTGTGGAAAAAATTTCTGTTTCGGGTTCTGGAAGAGAAATATTCTTGTTTAGAGCGCGAGAAGTCGTGTGAATAGAGTTTATGTACCCTATGAGCAGGATTTTATGCGATGCCAGAAATCAAGTATTCGTGGTGGGACTCAAAAATTGTGGAAGAAGTTTTGATTTTGGGCCCTGGAGGCAAAATATGTTTGTCTAGAGCTCGAGAAATTTTGTGAAGAGAGTTTCTGAACCCAATGGGTAAGGTTTTATGCAATGCCAGAAATCAGGTATTCGTGGTGGGGCCCAAAATCAAAAATAAAAATCGGCGTAAAAAAGTAGGATCAAGGCGAGTAAAATTGGAGCTTGCATGATCCAAAAATATTAATTTTGCAGCCAAAACAGTCATTTTTTTACCTTTTTAGAATGTCAAGTATAATATAATTTTTTCCAGATTCCAATGCAAGACCTCCTCGAAATCTTTCGAAAAACCCTCCAAACGGATATGTTCTCACTTGATGACATCGCAACGACCATTTCGACGGCCAAGTCGGAGGAGTCGACCAGTCGAACAATGACGTCAACGCAGCTGGCGGAACATCGAAAAATCACCGTCCGCCGATGGTCCCATATTGAATTATTGACGAAACATGCATACCGTGGAGCTAACTTGAGAATCAAGGTAAATTTTTTGGTTTTTACACGGATTTTTTTTTATTTTTGGGTCCCGCAGCGAAAATTTGATTTTGAATTTTTTGGTCTAACTCTTCGATAAAATGAAATTTTGTGTGTTTCAGGGCCCCCACAAGGACGGATCGGTTCTGATTTGCCCCAGGGCCATGAGATCGGCGTTAATTAAGGACATCCGGTCGAGTGGTCCCATCATTTTGGGCCCAATAAATGGCCTCCTGATCCTGGATGGGCTGGAAAATTTGCATGTCTCCGCGATATGCGAGAGGATTATCATCCAGAATTGCAAAGAGATTACGGTATTTCTGAATACTCGAACCTCCCCGGCCATCGGAAGGAACTGCCAACAGATCCGGCTGGCTCCATACAACACGTATTTTGATGTAAGTTGGAGGTGTTTTTTAGAAAGATTTTGAGGCGAAAAAGTTGATTGCGGTTTCTAGGGTTATGGGACAGACTTTGGAGACAGTACTTGACAAGGAGACTATAAAAATCGAGGATTTTTGGATCAAGGTCCTCATGGATAATATAAAATTAATGGCTAAGAGTAATTTAGCAATGATTTTTGGCGTGGAATAAGGATATTAGAGCGTGTTTGGAGGTACAGAAGCAATTTTGCGATCAAAAATGATTAGATTCATAGCTTAGAACAGAATGCCAGAAATGGCGGAAAATTTCGATTTTTGAATTTTAAATCAATTTTTATAAAGCGGAAATGGAGCAAATAGGTGGACAGGATGACTTGAGAATAGTGATAGTGATTCGGACAGAGCTGTATAAATATGTTTTTTTTTGGACTTTCAGTAAGTCATGGATAATATAATTTCGTTTGTTCGAAAAAGAACAAAAATTGAGGGAAATAATATTTATTTTGATATGAGTAACATGTATACAGCTAGCACTGTCAATTCTATGATTTTCCAAGTCCGTATTTGAGGTTAGAACAGAATGCCAAAAATGGCGGGAAATTTGAAATTTGAATTTTTTCTTTGAAAATGGTCCGAAAACTCGTTATTATTTCTTGGCATATTTTTGCATGTCGATGTGATGCTTTTTAGGGTCTATTCCAAGAGCTACAGTACTCTGGATTAATGTTGTTGAGCGGCAATGAAAACCGTTGGGATCAGCCGATTCAAGTGGACTCAATCCAACTAAAACCGGGTCCTCCACCCCTCCGAGTATGGAGTTTCTTGCCGCTGGATGCATTTTACATTCAGCCGACACCGTTCCCCACGAATAAAGGCTCAACTCTTCATGATGTAAGAAAAATTTATGTTATACCAGGGGTTTTGGAGGAAATTTGTTTAAAAAGTGACTAAAAACGGGTTGAAAATGAACGAATTTTGCATTTTAGTACTTCCTACGGTCCATCCCCGCGATGTACTTGGACAGTTTCGAGGAGCGAATGCGGTCCGCTGAGCTGTGGCTGCAGCGAAACCCGGAAAATCGGCTGATTGGCGTCCCGGAAAAAGATCGAGAATATCTAAAACATCGTGTCAGCCTGTCGCAATGATTTGCTAGCGTTGACAGTGAATATTGAGGATGTTAAAAAGCTAAAGATATTTGAAGAGAAAGATGAAGGAAAATAAATATAAATTATATTGTACTAGAGGAGGAGGTGTGGATTTGGAGGTCGATTTCTCGAAAATTGGTGGGTGGAATTTGAGAACACTTGGTGAGAGTAATGAATAGGGATTGGTAAGGCACAGTGAGGAATTCTGGACATCAGTGTTGAGCAGTAAAAAAGTTATGGCATATTATAGTAGGGCGGGGGGATATTAATTTAGACGATAATTTCTCTAAAGATACTCGTTGGATTTGCATGGAACTTGTTGAGAATGAAAAGCAGCTCTTCAAACGGCTACTGAAATATTTTTGGGTCGCGTTATGCAGAAACAAAAGAGTTATGAGATATTGTAGTAGAGGTGGCTGATATATATTGAGACTTCAGTTTCTTCAGGTAGAGTAGTCCAAATAGAATAAAGTTTTGTGGAGATTAACAGCATGCCTTTATAAAGCGTTGGTAGAAATTACAGCTCATAGGGGAAGACTTTCCTTATATTGTAGTAGGTGATCTGATATTACTTTAGACGAAAATTCCTCAAAATTCGGTGAACTTATTTTGATGTGCGCTACAGGAAATGAAAATGAGGTCGTTCTAATGATTAGCGCAAAATTTCATACCGCGTTATACAGAATTCGCCGAGTTCTGAGCCGTTTTTCAAAGTCGCCTATATCAAGATGACGTCAAGCCAAAAACAATTCATAGAACTTTTATTAGTGAAGTATAAATAGTGAAAACTATCAAACCGGACATTGTAAAATACGAGTAAATCAATTTTTAGTAAAATTCAATAACAAAAGTACAAGTAAAAGTGGTGAAATTTGATAAGCATGAGGTTTGAATGGACAGAACATCGTGGTTGATATATTGAAAAAGACAATTCCATGGTTATCTCCAATTTCCAATCCGCATTGGTTTTGAGCAATTAGTCGCGAGAGCGTTGCCGTTGTTTCCGTTCAAAGACCCGTTTGGTAGTGGCTGTACAGGCGGCTGTCCAGGCTCCCTTTTGGCCCTAAAGGCTGTTTTTGATAGCCGTAGGGGCTGGGCGCCGGCGCTGGGACCGGAGTGCGACTGCAGGGCGAGTATGGGCTGCTATATCCGTTGCTGGGAGGTGGCGGAGTACTGTAGGCTTCATTTGGCGGGTTACTGTAACTTTTACCCGGGTTACTGTAATTGGTCCCTGGGTTACTGTAACCGTCAGAAGTGCGTTTAAGACCGAGTTTAGGGCTACTGTAGCCGTTCGGGAGGTTATTGTAAATTTTCCCGGAGTTACTGTAGATTTCGGTGCGGTTACTGTAACTTTCGTTTAGAGGGGTGCTGTAGCTGCGATCCTCCAAATCACGGTACTCGGGGCCTTCTGGTATACTGTAGTCAACAATTTTTTGGTTACTGTAACTTGTTGACGGGTTACTGTAAGTTGTATTTAGAGGATTACTGTAGTGCTGCCGGTTACTGTAGATCCCCTTATGATTACTGAATCCATTTTGAAGCCGATTCAAGTCATTTCCCACCCTCGCTGAGTTTGCGAACACAGTAGAATGGCTACTAAATTGACCATAATTACTCCGTCGCGGCGCCTCCGGATCGCTACCGTAACCCCCGCTCCGACGAACCAAGTTGTTGTCCAGACTGCTTTGGCGGAACGCACCGTTGGCGTGGACGTGCGCCAAGGCAGGGTTGATCCGCAGCACGGTCGGCGAAGGGGTCCATTGAGCGAGTCGGCTTTCGCGCAGGAAATCGTCGTAGGACGCAGGCGACGGATCCAAGGGACGACCGGGGAAAATCGCGGGCCGATGGAGCTCGGAGGAGACTGAAAATTGAAAATTTATGTATTTTTTGTCATGTACAAATTTTATTTTTGGCGATGTTTAAAGAAAAAATCAAATTTTCAAATTCCCGCCAAACTTGGCATTCTGTTTTAGTGGTCGGAAATGGCTGATATGTGCTCAAAAATGTCAGCGTTTGTTATTTTATTTATGGAAATTAAAAATATCGTCGAATTTGGTGCACTAAAAGATTCAAATTTTCAAATTCCCACCAAATTTGGCATTCTGTTTTAGGGTCGGAAATGACGTACATGTGCTTAAAATACCAGTGCTTGCTATTTTATTGTGTGAAATCTGGTATTACGTCCAATTTAGAGCACTGAAAATTCAAATTTTCAAATTCCCGCCAAATTTGGCATTCTGTTTTATCGGTTGCAAGTCAAAAATAGATGCTCAAAAAATGTCACTAGTCACGATTTGATCGCTAGAAACTTATTTTCTGGCCATTACTACAATGAATTTTTACTACACTTTGAAAAAAAAAAGTTTCCGGCTCGATACGGCAATTTCCTTACCTCTGCTCTCCACTGTATCCTTCCGACTAGCCACCTCTGCCGTAGGCGTCTCCACCTCACTATTCAACGTTCCCTCGCTTGGCGTATGCACTCGATCGTACGTATTCTCCTCGACGAAGCTGTTATGCGCGCTTTGCGACAGTTGGCTCTTTTTCCGGCTGATGGGCGAGTAATTTTCGGTCGATTGGTATTTCCTCAGCATTCGCATGCGACTCTGCGCCAGCGTTCTCGGCAAAACGTCCAATTTCGGAGAGTCTGAGGTCATTTTCGGCGTGTTTTGGCCAAGGCTTCTTGGCAAAACCGGCGTCGAATTGGGGGCCACGATACTGGGTGGGCCATGGTGAAGATCGGCGGAATTTTGAAGTTTCCGGTCGTCAAATTTCCGTCGATCCTGTCTTAAACGGCTTGTTGTGGCATTACTGAGTGGTGTGGCGGTCGTACTGTTGCTTTCGTATTCGTATCTTGGCGGAATATTCGAATTTATACTGAGGCTTAGGCTCGAGTCCGGGCTCTCATTGAACCGACTTAAAGTCAATTTTCCCTCCAAAGTCTTGGGTTTCCGCATCGCTGATGCACTGTACACCGAAGAGGCTGTCGAGCCCTGAGGGCTTTCCGGCTTGAAACGAGATTTTTCGTCGATTAAAATGGGCGTTTCCACTTCTTGATGACCAAAACTTTGATGGATAATATCTTGATGTGCATGGTCCGCTACAAACTCCCTGGCTAGTCCATTGACAAGCGCTTGAACCCTAGTTGGCGGGTCTTGACGGATGATTGTGGCGCTGTTGTCATTCGTGCGCAGCAACGAAACTTTTTTCCGGTTTTCTCCCATTTTTCCGCCAAACCCAATTCCATTCCCCACATGGCCATTGACTTGGCCGTTGCTGAAGTTGGAACGTAGAGTTGGAGCATGACCTTCGTCATCCACTTTGACCACTTTTTCGCATTTTTTGAGGCCCCCATTTTCGACTACGGAGCCGTTTTCGCCACCCGGCTGCGTCAAGATCGGCTGTTTGCGTTGGGTCTGCGGAGTTCTGGTAACTACTGTAGGGGTAATTTCGTCGTCTCGCAGCTTCCGCGACGAGTCCCATTCCGCTTCAACGTGCCAATACCAATGCCAGTAGACGTAGAGCTGAAATATAGAGGGGTAATTTCCCATTAATGTGAGTTTGGATGACGTCATTTGAAATCGAGACTTTTTTGATTTTTCGGCGAAAAAATTGGTGCAAATTTTTTTAACACCTCCATAATGATCTATTATTTAGAAAAATGTGCTTAGAATTGATTTACAATGCGAGTTTGAACCATAATTTTCAAAAATTCAAAATCCCGCCACTTTTGGCATTCTGTTTCAGTGGTCAAAAACACTAGCTAAGTGGTTGAAAATTAATTATATTGTCATTCTGCATGATCAGAATCGTGTTGAGACTGATTATGACCACAAAAAATTCAAAAAGCAAGATTCCCGCCATTTTTGGCATTCTGTTTTAGGGGTCTGAAATAGAAGATATGTTGTCTAAAATGAGATATACCGCTATTTTACTACTTAAAATTGATTCTGAGGCCCATTTCTGCTTCCAAAAAATAAAAATTTCAAATTCCCACCATTTTTGGCATTCTGTTTCAAGCAAAATTTAGGGTAAAATACGACTTCGCACGTTTCTTCATTAACCTTCTACTTACCAAAAAGAAGTTCATACACATCCCAATGACATATGCGAAGATGGCCGTCATCGGTGCATTGTTCAAATCGCCCATAAAAGTTGGTAGGATCCGGGGTAATGCCGCCAAACTCAGGATCAGCAGGCCAATTCCGTAGATACTTTGCTAAAAAGGTTTAATTATTTTTGTTAATTTTTGCATTATTATTATTATTTTTTCAAATTTTGTTTTTTTTTCAAAATTTAAATTTTTTGTTAATTTTTGCATTATTTATTCTTTATTTTTTCAAATTTTGTTTTTTTTTTTCAAAATTTAAAACTATTTAGTTATTATATTTGAAGCCATTTTCATTGTGTATTTTTTCTTCGCCAATGAGGCCATTTAACAACATGATGATGTGTGAGAACAATAACGCCAAATGTCGGACCATTTGCGTCAATCCACTATTAGTTCGTAATGTTATGTTCTCATGAGCCCGGAAAAAACGTTTTGGTCTCGACAAAAAACACAATTGAGTTTGCAGAAATTGTAGTTGGGTTTAATTAAACGATTTTTTTGCCTATTTTCTTGCAAATGATTTTTTGTGGAAAGATTGCAGTCTATGTTTCAAAACAAATAGAGGGATTTTTCAATTTTTGAAATCCATTTTTTCATTTTTTTTTGAAATTTTTTGGGTTTTTATATTTAAAAAAATTGTTTATTGTATTTAAAATATTTTTGAAATTTACCGATTTTTTTGGAACCAATAGGGTTGATTTTTTGAATTTTTTATTTTTTTATTTCTAACAAAAATAAAATAAATCAGTAAAATAAAAAAAAATCAGAAAAAGATTAAAAGAATATTTTTTAAATCAAAAAATAAGTATAAACTAACTTTTTTGCATTGATTTATATTTATTATTTTAAAAAATTAAAATTTTACAAAATTATTTAAAAAAATTTGTTTTAAAAAATTAAAATTATTTAAATATTACATATTTTTAATTTAAAAAAATCAAAAAACAAATAAATGCTTGATTTTATGCCTTTATTTATTTTTTTAATAAAAAAATAACTGTTTTTTTTTATTTTTTTAAACTTATTTACATTTATTTCGAAAAATTTTAAAAAAGTTTTTTTTATTTTCGTTATTCAAAAAGTCAAATTTTATTCTAAATTTATTTTTTCATTTTCAAAAAACCAAAAAAACTCACCTGAATTAGCAACGGCCACAACAAAAACGGTCTAGGTCGATTCAAGAAGGCGCATGGCAAGCACATCACCAGTACCATGATATGCGTCACACACCATCCGAATCTCCCGTAGCCGCCATCCAGGTGCTCCGCAACGCAACCGTCAATGCCCCAGAGTGAGTGGAACAGACCGATGTCGAAGATGATCGCGTCGACGCCGGCGAACGCCATCGGCAGGCTGGAATTGGCGTTGAAGTCGCAGAAAAGGATCTGAAATGGATTTTTTTTTGAATTTTAAAAATGGATTCAAATTTTTTTTATTTCAAATTTTTGATCTTTTTAATTTTTTTTTTTTTTGATTTTTCATTTGAAAAATCGTTATTAAAAACATAACAAATGCCTTACAAAATTTTTATGGCCTTCAGAATCAATTTCTATGAAAAAAAATTGAAAAAATTCAAATTTCCCGCCATTTTTGGCATTCTGTTCTAAGCCGTATTTTCGGCGGGAATTTGCTTCAGATTGAAAAATGAGTAGTTAACAAGTGCCCAAGAGTGTTTTTTATTATGCTTCCTTCTTATTCAATCATTTTTAGGCCGAAAATTATATTATCCATGATGACTTTTGAACTTTCCTCCGATTCCTTTGATTTTTCGAACCCCCTTTCCCCGTAATTCCAATCCAGACGCTTTCTCAAAGTCTTTACAAGCCCCCACTAACTTCCTGATGTACTCAAAATAACATGGGGTTTTGGGCAAAGACAATAAATATTGGCCCATTTCGAAGGGCATTTCGGTTGAATAAAAAGCCGAACAAAAGGAATAGCGGAAGTCGGGTTCGGCGGATCCTGAACGCATTATAATATTGGTAGTCTGCCTACGACGTCATCTTGAATATTACGAGAATTTCGGGGTTTTCTGGTTGATTTAATGGCCTTAGAACGGAATGCCAAAAATGGCGGGAAATTCAAATTTTTGAATTTTATGGTGATTGAAGGTGTATGAAATGGACTATAAATGCGATGTAGGATCTTCATATCATGTTGTCAGTAATTTACAGTCCTTTTGAAGCCTTACAACAGAATGCCAAAAATAGCGGGAATTTTGAATTTTCAAATTCTAAATTCATATAGAGCTTGAAGAATCTTTTCTAGGTGTGATTTAAAGACCTTTTATACATTTTCAAATCAGTTTTGAGTATTTTTCAACGCTTACAACAGAATGCCAAAAAATGGCGGGAATTTTGAAATTCAAAAATTTTTCTGCAAAATCGCTTCCATCACTTATGACCTTCGAGGATAGATATAAATAAGCGATACTAATGGTTTATCGTCGAAAAAAACAAAGAAATTAATCTTATTTTAGGCCGGACTAATCTTTCATTTGGATTCCATTCCCCTTATGTCATCATATTTCCTTCCGCCTCTCATTTTCAACATGATTAAATTTTTTGTTGGTGCAGCTGCGGCCCAAAAATAGCCGCGAATCTTACGAAAATATGAGAAGGAGGGGATTTGATGTCATTTGAGAATCCGATTATATTGTAATAGGTAGCTGATGTAAAATAATATAGGAACAGGTGAATGTTCGAATGCATGATGCGGGTTTCTCTTGAATAATTGGTTAGACAGCCATAAATAATTCTTGGAGGCCAGAGGTCCAAAATTTCGGATTTTTTTTTGAATATTTGAGTTTCCCGCCATTTTGGCATTCTGTTTTAGGAGTCAAAAAAGACGAAGAAAATGCAAAAGATGTCCTCAAGGTCTTGAAATCGCCTACAGAAGAAATTTTTAATTCCCTTGACGATTTCAAAATTCAACAATTCAAGTTTCCCGCCATTTTTGGCATTCTGTTCTAGGGATGGCGAAGATGCCAAAAAGAAAATGATATACGATCTAAGTGTCTTGGAATTATATTTTCACGTTATTCTTAGTATTTTCAAAAGTTTTGATATCCAAAAATTCAAGTTTCCCGCCATTTTTGGCATTCTGTTCTAGGGGTTGGAAAACATTGGATACCGAACGATGTACGACTTCAGGGCTTTATGATGACATAAGAAAGTAATTTTGAGTATTTTCGAACGATTTAAAGTTCAAAAAATTCAAATTTCCCGCCATTTTTGGCATAATGTTTCAATGGTCGGAAATTGCCCAAAACTGACTAAGAATGATTTTCAGCAGTCGAGACGTAATTTTTAGAAAAGAAAAACGACTTTTAAAGGCATTTATAATTCGGAAAAATACAAAAAAGCTTACAAATTCCCAAAGACCTCAAAAAATTACCTTGTTGAAGTTGACGATGCTGTAGACATGCTGCAGCAGTGCCCACACACACACCCCCAACTGCAAAAGCCCAATGTAGAGCGAGAGTTGGCTGTTGAGGAAACGTCGGCCGAAAATCCGGGAGTATTGGTCGCGGATTTGGAGGAAGCGACTCATCGATGCCTCCGCCGCCGCTCCAACACGACCACGCCACGTCGCAAGGGAATCGGACTGAAATTTTGGGTTTGTTAGAAGATAATTTTCATCGTAAAATACGTGTTCTTTAGTCCATTTCATGAGAAAAAATTAGAAAAAATCGATTTTTCCGAGAAAAAAATCGGTATGAAAAAAAATTTTCTTTTTTTTAAAGAACAGCCTTATAAAGCTCTAAAAGTTATTTTTGCGCAAAAAATTTCATCATTTTAGGGTTAATATACGTTCAGTCGAGGCATTCTTTTTCTTGCACTGTGCAACGCAAAAAAAATTTTTGTTTGCGCACTGTGCAATGCAAAATTTTTTATCGCACTGTGCTACACAAAAAAATTTTCCTCGCATCGTGCATTCAACGCAAAAAAAAAAATTTTCTCGCACTGTGCAAAACAAAAAAATTTTTTCATCGCACCGTGCACTCAAATTTTTTTTTACGCACCGTGCAATGCAAAAAAAGTTTTTTTTCTTGCACTGTGTGTGCATTCAACAAAGCAACTTTTCATCGCACCGTGCACTCAAAAAAATTTTCATTTTTTACGCACTGTGCAAATCAAAAATAAATAATATTTTCTTGCACTGTGCAATGCAAAAAAAGTTCTTCTTGCACTGTGCATTCAACAAAAACAAACTTTTTTCTTGCACTGTGCATTGAACAAAAAAAAACTTTTTATCGCACCGTGCACTCAAAAAGATTTTTATTTTTTACGCACTGTGCAAATCAAAAATAAATAATGTTTTATCGCACTGTGCAACGCAAAAAATTTTTTTCTTCTTGCACTGTGCATTCAACAAAAACAACTTTTTATCGCACCGTGCACCCAACATTTTTTTTAATTTTTTTACGCACTGTGCAAATCAAAAATAAATAATATTTTATCGCACCGTGCAAATCAAAACATTTTTCTCGCACTGTGCAATATAAAATTTTTGTTTTATTAGAAGATAATTTTCATGGTAAAATACGTGTTCCGCAAAGATTAAATCACATCAAAAATTTTTTTATTTTTTACGCACCCTGCAATGCAAAAAAAACGCTTTCTCGCACTGTGCGAAGCAAAAAATAAATAATATTTTTCTCGCATTAAAAAAAAAGTACAACTTTTGGGCGAAAATAAAAATTCCTATCCAAATTCGAGGCAATTAGGCCGGACCCCGAAACGAGAAACCTCTGAATGTGTAAAATGATAAAGCCCTCGAGGGATGTGCGCTTTATAATTAAAAATGTGTTCTGACAATTTTGTAGTTGTTCTGCGTCATCACACACCGTGCGTAGGTAGGGTTGGTTTCGCTCTTCACAAAACAACACAAGTACAGGGCAATTGTACGAAAAATTAATTGTACTCCTTTTAGAACGGGGCTAAAATTGGAAATAATGAAAAAATGGTGGTCCAAGTTTTGTTCGGGGCGTAGAAAAGATAAGGAAAAAAATAGTATAATAAAAAAAAATTCTTTTTCTGCACTGTGCAGCGTAAAAAAATCTCTTTTTTATTGCACTGTGCATTCAACAGAAATTTGATTTCTGCACTGTGCAACTAAAACTAACAGGGGAAGTACTCCAAGTGCGACGCTCAGATTTTCTTTAAATTTTGCACACACGTCGGGTATGGACTAAATATCAATTCCTGAAAGTTTTAGCTCGCGCTTTGCGGGCGCCGCCGAGATATCGAACGATTTTTGCCGCCGAGAGAGCACGCCAAATGCGGAGAGCGGTCAGAGAGAAAAACGCTTTTTGGCCATAACTTTGGCAGTTTTGTGCAGAAAAATTTGATTTTTTGTGGAAACATTATCCTTTACGGTTGAAATCGGCATGAAACTTTTCGTGCCGAAATTCGGCAAAAATTCCTAAATTTTGGCCGACTTTCGATCTAAAAATCTCGGCTGTTTCTGCAAAGCGCGAGCTAGGATTCTCGCACATATCTTAGAAAAACCTTTTCTAAATTTGTGCCAAGTTTCATCAAAATCTGAGCGTCGCACTTGGAGTACTTCCCCTGTAAGTTAAAACGAATTTTTAATTTTTTTTATCGCACTGTGCACTGAACAAAAATGTTTTATTTCAGCTCTGTACAAAGCAAAAAAAATTTTTTTGACGCACCGTGCATTCAACAAAAAAGCTTCCTTTTTATCGCACCGTGCAATGCAAAAAATTTTTTTTTTATTTCTGCACTTTGCAATGTAAAAAAATTCAATATTTTTATTGCACTGTGCATGAAAAAAATAAAACATTTTTATCGCACTGTGCAATGGAAAAAATGTTTTTATCGCACCGTGCATTCAACAAAAACAAGTTTTTTCATTGCACTGTGCACTCAGCAGGGTTGTTTTAGTTCTGCACTGTGCAATAAAAAAAAATTTTTTTTTTGCACTGTGCAATGCAGAAAAAATGTTTTATTTCTGCACTGTGCAAGGCAAAGAAATTGTTTCTCGCACCGTTGCAAATGCAAAAAAATATTTTCATTGCACTGTGCATTCAACAAACAAAATTTTTTTATCGCACTGTGCAATCAAAAAAAAATTTTTTATTTCTGCACCGTGCAATGCAAAAAAAACTTTTACTTCCGCACTGTGCAATGCAAAAAACCAAAAAAAAAATTTAATAACAATAATTTTAAAATAGTCAAAAGCCATGACAACCCATCTCTGGGCCAGTCAATATAAAAGCGAACTCACTCACCTGTAATTATCGATAAAACACGGTGAATACGGGTCGCTTCTCATCTCAAAACCGGAGAGAACTTAGGGATGGAGGGAAAGGGGTGAGTCGAAGAGGTTCATGGGGAAATCTGAAAATGAAAAATGGAATTATAGGGGGTAAAATACGATTGAAATATAGTTTTTATGCGGACAGAAAAAAAATTGAAAAAATGGATTTCTTTTGAAAAAATTAGAAAAAATGGATTTTCTTTTGAAAAAAATTAGAAAAAATGGATTTTTTTTTGAAAAAAAATTAGAAAAAATGGATTTTTTTTTCGAAAAAAAATTGAAAAAATGGATTTTCTTTTGAAAAAAATAAAAAAAATGGATTTTTTTTGAAAAAAATTGAAAAAATAGATTTTTTTTCGAAAAAAAATTAAAAGAATGGATTTTCTTTTGAAAAAAAAATTAGAAAAAATGGATTTTTTTTGAAAAAAATTAGAAAAAATGGATTTTTTTGAAAAATATTGAAAAAATGGATTTTTTTTCGAAAAAAAATTAAAAGATGGATTTTTTTTCGAAAAATGAAGATTGGAAGGTTCTAGAGAAAATTGGGCCTAGAATAAATAAAAAAAATCAAATGCAACAAAAAAAAATTTTTTTTTTTTCAAAAATCAAAAAATTTTTTTTTTTTAATTTTTTTGAAAATTCAGCCTCGGAATAGCCAAAAATTTCAAAAAATCGAGCTAGAAATCTCGCCAGCATCAAAATCATCAAAAAAATTTTTTTTTTTTATTTTTTCCAAAAAAAAATATTTTTTTTTATTTTTCAACCAAAAAATGTAATTTTTTGTAACTTTCATGCTAAAAATCTCGAGAATTTAAACCATAATTTTACCCCAAATTCTTAAAAAATCAAAAAAAAATTTTTTTGAATTCACAAAAAACCGAAAAAAACCTCAAAAAATCCCATTTTTAGGCCCCCTAACCTCAACAAAAATTCAACTCAAAACCCCAACCCGAATTCCTAAACGCGAGTAATTCCATTTTTTTTCTCCGCGAAAATAATTTTTTCGTTCTAATTTCTCGTCTTGGCCCCGCCCACCTCAAGATTTTTATAAAAAACAAATTTTTTTTGGGTCCCGCCGGGAATTCGTGGACATTTCGGATCCGAGGCGGACCCAAATTTGTTTTAAATTAGTAAACAAAACAGCCCATCAAAGTCGCTTTTTCCTTTCAAATTTTTCAAATTTTGTTTTTACCGACGAAAATGAAGGGAAGATGACATTTTTTTGCAGTTGAAATTGAAGTTAAAAATATTCTAAATGACGACATTGAAAAAAATTTTTGTTTAGTAGCCCGTTCGTCAAGCCGCTGAAATGATTTTTGGCGTTTGCACTGTGCAAAAAAAGTCAGCCCAGAAAAGCCGTTTGCACGGTGCAAAATATAGAAGAAATTGCACGAATTCCATCGATTGCGACCCAAAATGGGGTAAAGCGACCCCGGGATGAAAATTCTTTGATTCTCTTCGGGAAAAACTTGCTTTAGGGGTTTTCGAGGGTGCTGATTTCGAAAATGATGTTCATGTTTCCTCTAGTACTACATAGTACTGTCTGATACTATATAGTACGAGGTCAAAATATGGCTTTTGACGTTAATGGTGTTGTTTTGATGCTTAGTACTCTTCAAAAACACGTTTCAAAGACTTGGTGCTATATAGTACTATCTGATACTATGTAGCACGAGGTGTAAAGTTGGCCTCTAGGCGTTCGTGGTGTTGTTCTGGTGCTTAGTACGCCTATTTTGACTTCGTACTATATAGTATCAGACAGTACTATGCAGTACTAGAGGAAAAATGAACATCATTTTCGAAATCAGCACCCTCGAAAACCCCTAAAGCAAGTTTTTCCCGAAGAGAATTAAAGAATTTTCATCCCATGGTCGCTTTACCCCATTTTGGGTCGCAATCGATTTGTCGGAAAAATAATGACATCACTATTTTTCTGACAGACTGATAAAAAAATAGTGTGGGGTTGGAAAAATATATATATTTTTTTTTTACTTTTGCGGGTCCAAAAGCAGGAAATGCCAAGAAAAATTTAAAGTCAAAAAATGACAAAAAAAGAAAAAAAAATTGAATTTTTGGATGTAAGATATTTTTTATCTTTTTATGTGTACTATCCCGTTCGCAGAGCCGCTAGAATGATTTTTGGTGTTGCACTGTGCGAAAAAAGTCAGGGTTAGCCAAAAAAGCCTAAAAAAGCCTAAAAAAGTACAGGGTGCGGCAATTTTTCGGCCGGATTTGAATTGGCTATAACTTTTTTAGTTTTTATCCGA